ACTTTTGCTGTAATCTTTCCAGAAAATGCCAAGGGATGAGCAATGTAGAACTGAGATAAGCTATTTAAGTAGAACATACCGTGTGAAATTTTGTCTAAGGAAGCACCCAAAATAATCTGAGGACTCCTGGGGGGATCAAGAAGGTATTGGAGGATTTTGATCTAACAAATACCTTTGATAGAGTGGGAAAAACAAAGGTTAAATACCAGATTTTCCAACCCCATGCATCACACAGTGAAGGTACTCAAACAGCACGTTTAGGAGGTTGTGGGACAGCATTTTTTCTCCGTGGGTTTATCTCCAAAGGGGAGCACTAAAATGCTGTTCTTGTGCTTAGAAATTGACTGTCAGCACTTTCCCCTTCAAAATGCACTATGTTGACCAGTTTTTTTCAGCAAAGGTGTTTTTTATTTTCTGGTGATTATTTCTCCTTTTCTTTAACAGAAATACTGCTGACACCTAGAACCATCTCGTCACACAAGAATGCGCTGTATTAATGATGCACTAGTATTACAAAGCAAAGCTACGCATTCTTCACATCAACTAACCCTGGCCTTATGGAAACAAGTGGGTTTTCCTGTTTATCACCACGATGTCATAAGTTAGTTCACTCAAGGGACGAAAGAACCCAATGCAAAAAAAACCCTACCCTACAAAAAATGCATTTTGGTAGAAGCAGTCTCTCTTATTACTGTATGTCGTGGTGTACAAAAGAAGGTCATAAATATTCTTGGTGCTCTGCCTCTAGAACTGTGAATTAGGCAGTGGCGAGTTAGTAGATACAATGGGTAGAGTCCTGGTTACCTTATCTAGCCACTGTGGCTACCCACAGCCCTTTCACCAACTACAGGCGGACAGAAGTGCCTGGAGAAGTCACAGTGGTAAGAAGTTTCTGATTTCTCTAGTAACAGTATCTGACAGAGAATGTAGTTCCTAGCCTTGACTCTTATATTAATTCCTGAATATAAATGCTGCTTTTAATCTCTTACCCCGAGTCAGGATTTCCCAAGCAAGGTGTTGGTGCAACATGAATTGGCACATACTAGTCCAAAATCCTGTCCATTGCAGCCATGGGGTAAAAAGAGAGGGTAATAAATTTAAATTATTTAAACACAATTGTGACTAATATTTACATATTGATGTGCAGCTGAGTGCACTTTATAAAAGACTATATAATGGATTAATGCAATATCTTTGATAAGGACTTAATATGAAGGTAAGGTGTACTCATGTTCCTTCTCAAACACAATCTCGTAAGAATGATTTGAAAAGACTGCATAATGTAATGTTTTCTGTGTAGGGAAATTAGAGCAATAATCCTTCATCTTTTGAAAACAACTTCAGAAAACTCAAGGCAAGGCACTGCAGTCTGAATCAGAGTTTTGCAGTCTTTTTGTGAATAAATTTTGTAAATATGATCTTTAAGATAATGTATTATATATATGACTTTTGTAGGTCACTAACTCATTTTTGCAGAGTTTGTGAAGCTAAATATTTAACAACATTGATTTCTGTAAACTCAGTGTAGTTGAGGTCCAAATAGAATTTTCTTTGGTTTTAATTAAATTTAATGACTTTGCAGCTGGGTGACTTTAGCCCACATCTTTCTCCTCTTTGGTCTTCAACACTTCATTTATTTTTCCATCTTTAACACATAGCTTTTTACAAAAGACCAGTTGGTAAATGCTTTCTCCACCTGTGAGCACTTTGTTGCATTTCTTCTTACATAAGGCAAATTGACAGAAAAGGCTCTGCATTGTTAGGTGTTCTGACTTGTCATGACAGTCATGTCTTTCTAGAGTGTTGCCTTTTCAGTTGATGAATCGGGATTGTGTCTTTTTTGGTCAATTTTAATGAAATCTAAATGTTCTTCGAAAAAAGTTTTGTCTGTTGCAAATACCTGTTGTTACATGACGTCAAGGCACCTATACGGATATCAAGCTGCGCTTTATTTAACCAAATGTCTGCACCTCATTGGATTGTTCAATCATAATGAATGTATTTTCTAAGCAGGTTTATCTTGTATCAGTATTTAAGTCTGGTTACAAATGCATTCCTATTACTTGTTAATAGGGTCCCCCCTCATCCCTCTGTTTTGGTTCCTTGATACAAAGAGCCCTTTGGAGTTTTTTCAGTTTCAGGCAGTTCCAACAAGTCAAACCTCTCAACTTCCATGAGGGATGACCCAGGAATGCTTAAGATGTGTGGTGCTTTTGTTCTGTTGTTCTCTTGTAATGGAAAACTGACTTCTCCTAAGTGAGTAAAAGAACCTAATCTGAGTTCTTGATTGCTTCTTCTGACCTGTAAGCAAGAGGTGGGTTTATTGCTCAGAATATTCAGTGATCTTCCATTTTAACAAAGTAACTAACTTTAGCTAGAAATATGCTCCAAAAGTTCATCCTTAGCACACAACCAGTTGTGTTCCAAAGGGAATGTAGATTCAATCGATTTACTTTATGCAACCTTGTCTCTGCAGTTAGTACTGAGTATATAGGTTAGGGTTAGTATTTATTTGAAATCTTCAGTCCAGTTCATGTGTTTTTTAATGCAAAACTTTTAAAAGCTTAAGCAACTTTGATCTTTCTTATTTCGTAGAACATATCTCTTTGTTAAGTGCTGCCTATTGAAGCTGAAAGGCAACAATCCCTTGCTTTTTATATCAATTCAGAGTAGAACAATCTTTATATTTTGTAGTTGTTCATGATATTGATGGAAACTACAAATCCCAGTTGCTTTCATCAGGTGAGCTCTTAGACTATCTACTAATTTATACATCCTGCCCTTCTAGTTCTTTTTAAATGAGTGATTCTATTTATACATCTGTGTATAACTGGTACCTGACTGATTGATATTAGAAAGAACCATCATTTTCTCATCTGTGTTTAGAATGTTGGCGCTTTCCAGTACTTACTTTTTTGCTGAATCCAAAGATTTTTAGTTTAAACTTGAGTAAGGGGGGGAGAGGGGCATTTCTAAAGTGCATCAATGACATCTTCCTTGGCAGCACTGATCCTAAACATGACATCATCCTTGAAAATCTTACTGCAGGAAATAAAACTGACCTTGAAAGCTGTTGACATCTACTCTGCCAATTCTGGTTTGCTTCAGTAGCAGCAGATTTTCTGAATGTTTTTAAAAACCAACCTGTGTACCATTTCTCACCAGTGAGAGGACAGTTAGCAAGGACAGCCACCTCCGCTCAGTGCTGCCTCACGAGCATCCTCATGCTACACGTCTCTGCTACTCTTTTGGTCACAGAAACATGTCTTTATAGAATTCATGTGTAGTGTTATTTTTTGAATCTTGGCCTAAAATACTGCTTTTAAAGTCAGCAAATCAGGACCATTTTTCAGTCGTAAGACAAAACTATTTGAATGTTGTACCAATTAGCACACGTTTTATTTTAGACTTTCTGTGCAGACTACCAGATGACAGTAATACAGCAAGATGAAACATGGAATTCTGAGAGCAATATTTAAAAAAATCTCAGGAGAAGGCATACAGTATTGAGAATTGCATTTAAGTTTAGTTTACATGATAAGTATTGCTTGAAATATCTGTATCTTTATTTTGCAAAACAGAAAATCATGGGACTGATCTATAAAAGAGTTGGTTGTAAGGTATTACTGCTCTTCTGATTTTTGTGTTTGGATGTTAATAATAATGTAAATAAAGGTTTCTATTTAAAATCGGAACTTGGTGATGCAGTGTTTTAGCTGTCAATACTTTAAGGCTGATAACTGTATCCTGGAAAGGTCAGAGAAAATCCAGTGCTATTACTGAGGAAAGGTGGGTATAGCAAATGATTTAATTTCTAGTTGACTGTAGGAGCTCAGGGAGTGGCAGTTGGATCTTGCATCTATGAGACCCATTTAGCAACTGATGTTGCAGTGACACCAAGTGGAATTTATGTCTTTTTCAACTTAAATAGCAGTCTTCAGCAGAGCTGGAGGAGAAAAGGCTAGAGGTTTCCCATAACTTGGTAAGAACCTGCCTTTCACAAAACACCAGCTACACTGTGTCCCCCTTACAAGGCCCAAAACTCAGGTTTCTGCATAAGGGACATGGCAACTTCTCAGGCTTACCAGGAAAAGCCACACTGGCCCTGCAGGACTGCGATAGTCACACCCTCATCTCGTCACAGGCTACAGGCTGAACACAACAAAAGGTAAGTGCAGATTTGTTTTAATCTAAACCAGCATACTCACGGGGGATGGCAGACAGCGAATGCCTTTCTCTGGAAAGCAGCAAATCTGTTTCACTGGTGAGTTTAAATTCAGTGTTCTTTACTTATTTGTATAGTCTTCATAATCTAGCAGATGTTTCTGATAATCCATGACTGAAACCAAATCCATGGCTGGATTCAGACAATTGTATTTTACTTAGATTAAAAAAAAAAATCAAAACCTGGGAAGAAAATTTTGGGAAGTGTGTTTGACTTAGATGTGATACAGACAGAAGCTCCAGCCTAGTTTTACTGTCTAACACATCCTGTGAAAACCCCAGTGCCACTTTTTGGAGTGAGGCTTTTTCCTCAGTTCCTAAATTCAAGTATAGTTTTAGTCTGGGGGTGTGGTATCAGAGATCTGTGTCCCTTATGAAGTAATCCCACTAGAATTTCCTGATGTGCAAAGCCAGGAAGGGTTTCAAAATCATTTCGGTGGTGGTGTATCTTTACACGGTGTTTGTAGAAGTGCAAGTTAAGTCTGTGGTTTGGAAATAAATACCTCTTTGTTAAGAGTGAAGGCCACAGTTGGTCGAGTCTGTCACACGAGCTCCCTCCTGCATGTGCCTTGAAAACAGGAGGTTAACATGAAAAATGTATAAATACAAATATCACCTCTAGTGCCTGTACTACAATGTATTTAATAGCATCTTTATGAAAATACTCAAGTAGACTCTGTACACTGTGCTTCTGTAGTAAAATGATGGAGTTTTCCCTTTACAAGCCTTTAAACAGTAACTGTTGTTCAGAACATCTACTGATTTGTAGACTAAACTCTTAACTATATTATTCTTTATTGGCTACAAGTATTGAACTTCTTGGAGCTGCCTTTTTAAAAGTAAATGTCAAAGTTACACTACCAAGCAAATGCTTTCTCAAAGGAACTGTTTTGGTTTTGAACATACAGTATAATATTGCCACATAAAAAAACTTCATACAAATCCGAGTTCATTAAAATTGAAGATGTACATTTACTGAAATTTTTCAGTACTTTAAAAATGGAGAACTCCTGAAATGCACTATGTGACATGAAGTAACATTTGGAGAACTGGTGTGTGGGCATTCCACTCTTTTTATTAACAAAATTCTTCATAACCTGAAGGAATTTCTTTTCAAACAGTATACTGAGCAATATTTACATAACCCCCTCCAAAATCTGGCATCCTGTTAGTCAAGATTTTCCCTAATATTCCTAGAGGTGGCAACAGGATGTACAAGTAGGTGTGGAACTAAAATGTATCCTCAGAGGGAAGCTGAGAAATAGCATGGTGTTGAGAATGTTCAGTGCTGCTCACTTCAGTTCCTGATTCTCTTCCAAGTTCTTTTTCATCATCTCCAGTTAGAAGCAAAATGTTCACATTTTCTAACTGTTGCTTTAGAGTTGTACTTGGCTTTGAAGTGTTTCTCATGACAGCTGCTGATACAGTTGAACTGAAGGGTGGTTTAAGTGTACATCCGCTGTCCCTGCGCACACTGCACACTGCGGCGGGAATCCTCTCTGGGATGTAGCCCTGTCCCCTTTGCTGTCAGTTCCTGGATCAGTGTTAGTGGTGTCATCTCAAAGTAAAACCTTGTGAAGCAGGTGAGGTATAATGCAAAGCAAAAAGCAGGTACAATAGTGGATTTCAGAGACCTGTATTTCTGACAGCATTTCCCATCATTTCACTGCAGGTATTTAGTTCACTCACCAGTGCAAACATTCTATCTAGTTCAGCCTCAAAGTTTATCCAGTCCTCCAGGGTAATGTTGTAATTCTCTCTGAAGTCACACACATTGTCATTTAGTCTGTACATGGACTCAAGTTCTGGCCAGTCTGTATCCTCACGGAGGTGCAGCACTTGGGGGAGGTTAGCCCTCCCATCCTTCCCACAGCTGTCCTCTGAAAAACACAACAGAACATGATTTAGTGTCCTAGGAGGAAGCAGTTAGGTATTTGTCATGGTTCCATGCAGGAAAAAACAACTGAAACACATCATGGACCCCTTCTAAAATTACAGCAGGTATATCACAGAAACAGTCCAACTGCATTTGAAGCTTCACCCTGTACAAAACTTGTATCTCAGTAATTCTAACTTTTGTTTTAGTTCTAAAGCCAGTCTTCAACTAAAGATACTACCACTAAATGAGCAAATCCTCTCTGGCAAGTTGGGGTTGCTGGACTGTGTCTATTGAGGTATCTGTGCATCTTTTTTCACTGAACAATTGGAGAGCATCTCATGATTTTTAAAGAGCTGATGGTTCAACCTTCTTTTGAACAGGAGATTCAGAGACAATAACTGGCATGGCAAAGGTCACTGTTTTTCACATCTTTAAACATGTATGTCACCTTTGGACTCTGGCAAGTTGAAAATAGTATTATCAAATCTTAAAAGGTAGTTAAGTGAAGTGAGTAAAAAGCAAGCTTAGATTTTAGTATGATGTCAGAATGAAACAAAAACTAAAGGTATGGATCTGTCTTGTAGTCAACTCCCTGTTCTAACTTGCACTTTGCTGTGGTTGGATAAATAGCAAGAAAATACATGATCCTCTGAGAAATTGGTTTTATTCTTCCTGGATGGTGTGAAAGACCACGAGGCAGCTGCTACAGATTTGCATTTAGACAAAACCAACATAATGGGCTGAAATTTTGAATGACAATCATAACTGGGTTCTTGAGCATCCACCTTTGCTCATTTGCCCTTGCTCTTGATGCTCCCAGAACATGCACCAAGTGTTTTTGTACAGCAGTAGCTGAATGTATGGTAGCACTATCATAGTTCTTGTACAAGTTAGAGGATTTCCCATTTAAGCATTCCAGAAGAAGAAATGATGATGTTGAAAGTGGTGCTGCATGCAAGGAAAGAAAGGAAGGGAAGGTAGGTAAGTAAAAACCAATGCTTTCTGTGAACTGCTCCCAACTCACAGTGACTTGGCAGATGATGGTCTCTTCACATCTGGCCATTTTCGACGCTGAAACTGCCTAGTTTCCAAGCAGCAAAAGGAGAAAAAAGTTAACCATCACCAAGAAACCCACCAGCACTACAGTCTGAAAGCGAGGAAAGAAGAGTTTAGCCTGAATTTTGATTATAAAGATCAGAACATGCTGTGACATTGAAACAGAAACAGCTCCAGTGTTTCCAAGTAACTGGGTGGGAAGATCTCCCAACTGCCATTCCAGGCAGTGTCCATCCATGGGGTTGCTGATCCCACCCCTAAATCTTTTAGCAGGTAGGTAGTACTTAAAGAATAATAATTTAATATACCTGTACTGCTCATAGCTTCCATCTTTAAGTCCTAGGTGAAGAAAAATTAACAGTGTTACTAACAGAGTAAGGTATCAGGTAAGGTACAACTTAAAACAGACCTAAGAATAGCAACAGATTAACATCCACTGCCTTGAGAAGTATTTCCATATGTGGTAACTGGAGCTTTAACTCTTACATTTAATCCCTTATTGCAGGAAAAAGAAGTTGTAAACTGGGAAAGGAGTCTTGAAAACTTTTCTGTAAATGACCTTCAGTAATGTCTTTAACTGCCAAAACCTGCTGATCTCAAAACATACAGCTCTGGGTGCTGCAGGTACTAAATAAGACCCAAAATTATACTTTGGGCTGTGGTGGACTTGGGTTTTGTTCCTTCCTCATCCCTTTCCCCTGCATCTCAGCAGTACTCGTCACTAACCTATTTCAATATCATTCTTAATTTAAGAAACATTACCTCAAAGTGAACAAATACTGAAGTGTGAGCATGCAGCCACCAGCCCCAGCAGGACATTACCAGTATAAATGAATATTAAAATCCTTTTGACTGATGCAAAGTTTCATAACATTAAGTAAGAAAGAGCCCCATTTTGAGTGTACTAGGAGAGGCACGTACCCAGATCCATGTTCCTGGTTCTTGGATTGCACTGTTTATACCCTTTGCAGCTTCTCAGTTCCATGAGCTGGACATGAAGTTGATTGAGAATGTCTCTATCTAGTGTATTCACTGCGTTAATTAGCTGCAATAAATAGGGATTCTCATTAGTAACTGTTGTTCTCTAGTATCTTTCATATATGGAATATATGTGGTTTATCTGTGACAGAAGAGAAGCCAAATCATGCTACATTAAATGAATTAGGCCTTTGCTATGTCCTCCACCATTACCATGCAATTTCAATTTATCATCAGTAAGGAACAATGATGTATTTCTTGAGCTATCTCTGATCAGGTACCTGATATGGATCAGTATTGAGATCAAAATACTCCAAAAATCCAGTAGCAAATTCACAAAACAGGAAGTTGTGGGTCTCGTTGATTGTCCTCAGGCACCAGTACGTGTTGTTGTTGGCGCTGGTACAGGCACAGAAAGGGCCCACTGCAAATTGAAGAGTTGCAAAGACTGAGCTACACGCTGCTGGCTTTAGCACTGTTTATGATGCCTTTCCCTTTATGGTATTTACTCACAGTTACTCTCCCTCCCACTCCTGAGCTCTGAAGTACAGAATGCCTTCTGGCATCAGCTTCTTGTTCTGTGCACGCCTCACTTGGCAAGGTGCTTCCCCTGGCTTCTCTGGAAGCATTCCAGACAATGAGATCCTACACTAATTGTCCCATTCACAGCATCATCTCTAAGGCTTTTATTAGCAGTTGGTTTTCTTTTTAACTCAGTTGCCTTTTGTGCAAGGATAACACTAACACTGGAACAGATTATTTACTATGAGGAAGGCTTCCTGGCCTTGGCTACGGAGCTTAGACCGGTAACTTCTACTAGCCCAGCAGCCTAGCCAGTACCCGCCTATCAATTACATAGTTTAAAGTATCCTTACATGTCCACAGGGGAGCAGTTTGCCAGTGCTGGTTGTCATGGGTGAAGCAGGTCAGACCTGGCATGCTGCAGGTGTCGTTGTTCTTTATTCTCTTAAGCAGTTTGCGCAGCTTCTTCTTCCGCCTTTGCTCTCGAAGCAGCCACAGCCGGTCTTTCTCCTGTAGGGCTTTCCTGCACACAGGAGGTCATGCAGCTCGGTTATGCTTGGACACACCAAAAATAATGAAGCAGACAGATAGATAATAAAATAAGCTGCTCTGAGGGAAAGACTGAACCAGTAGTTTTTAATTAAATGACTTCCAAATGGCTCTGGATGCAACTCCACAATTCAATGGCACAGATAAAAACCAATTAAGCCAAAAGAGCTTATAGGCTTGTCTGACATCTGTGCTGTGGCATTTCCCCCACCAGGAATCTTACCTCAGAATTCACAAGCATTTCAACACGGGCTTATGTTCCTTCACAGGGTTTTGTGTGTTTCTTCTTTTTAATACAGGAGAAATGAAATACTACTACTTTTACTCAGTTTGTAACTGGTGTGAATGGACAATGTGGTAATAATATCTTTGCATTTCCTCTTTCAAAGGAACAGACTTTCACTTACTTGAAAGGATGAAGACTAGATCCCTTGTGCCTCAGTTTGCTTTTGTGTTTGGAATGGTAACTGGAAAATAAAAACAGCATGGGTGATGAACAACAGAATAGCAACTGCTCCTATTTGTACCACCCTATCACAGTGCAGCTGGAGCAGATTGAAGCCAGTGTCACTGCTCCCTTTAAATTATGCCCCACACCTGGCAGAAGTGCTCAAGGCCAGGTTGGACATGGTTTTGAGGAACCTGGTCTAGTGGAAGGTGTCCCTGCCCGTGGCAGAGGGTTGGAACTGGGTGCTCTTCAGTCTCCCTTCTACCCCAACCATTCTGTGATCAATGAACACAAAGCGGCCTGGCTAGTTCGGGTCAGGCACTTCTGAGCCTTGTGCCGCTTTCTTTCCTTAGCGCGTTTGCGCACAGCGACACCTGGTGCTCTGATCCTGCATTGCAGCAGGTGTCCTCAAACCGCTACCGTTTTCGGTTTTAGTTGGGATTGGTTCTTGTTTCCCTACACGAGACAGATAAAAGCAACGGCTTTATAATTCAGTTACAGCATTTCCTCAACTGACCAGTCCCTGATTAGTACAGAGGATAAAATGACAGCTCACACCACCTTCATGCCATTTTCCCTCTGAATGAAAGGATTTAAATACCAGCTGTACTTCCTAGGGTTGGTTTTTTTCCTCCATTGTTACCAGCTAGAATTTCCAGGAAAACTTCAACAAGATCCATGGAACTGTCCCACCACTGTGAGCTCGGGAGCTGTGAGCTCCATCCTAGCTGGGCTGCTCTACTGGTTTGGCTCTGTCTGCAGAAACTCCTACAAGATTTTGCAGAACTTTCCTTTCTGTGCAATTTCCAAGGTTAAAAACTAAGCAGCTTCAGGCACTGGCACCACCTTCTGACCATGAGGTTACTCCCTGCACACTTCAGCAAAGACAAACTAAGTTCAGTGAATGTTATTTTCTAAAGAGAGCATCAGAACTCAGCAAATGGTCAGACTAAAATTCCCTTCAAGCCAAAATAAATCCTTTAAATTATGAATGCTCCTGGCAGATTGAATGCATTTACAGAAAATTAACAAAGATTATTAAAGAACTGGCTTCACTCAATTTTTTTTATCTCACACACACACTGGTTATTCCATTAACAAATCCTAAATGTTAAAACCTGATTCAGTGCAATTCTGCAAACACTTAAACATCTATAACTCAAATGATTAACTTCATTATTCACCTTAACAATGCTCTGCACAAACGTAAGTGCTTCCTGGATTGGGCCTCAGAAATGTAGCATTCTTGACATTTACTATAAGCCATTCACCATAACAATAGCTTCATCTTTACAGTGTGTATTAAATAAACTCAGCTGTTAGTCCCAGTTTTGAAAGCAGTGCGTTATAAGATGGTAATGTTAACTTTCAGGAGATTTGCCATTTAGAATACTACCGATTTCATTTTAAACCCTTTTTGCCATGGGTTCTGTGTATGGGTTGGCCTAACCCAAAAAATTACATTCTCCATATTTTAGTGGCCTGTTGCTGAAGCTGCATTGCAGAATCCACATGGACTATACCCACTATGTACCTCACGTCTGTAAAGTATGAGGTCTAAGGACTTAAGTGCTATGCTCAAAACCTCATTCTCTTATACCAATGACAGAGAGAAGTGGCATCTGAGGAGGTAACACATCCAGCCCTGAAAAACCCAACTGGAAAAAATTCTCCCATCTTCCCACACCATTATCCCATATGCTTTACACACCCTTCTTTTAAAAGAGATCTGTGTTAACTCTGCTCCATATTGACAAATTGCCCTTGTTGAAAACAAGATTTCAGGAACAAACCCACAGCTTAAAATAAACTCCTGCCTGCTGGAGGTGGGCTTTGTACTCGTGCTGCGTTCCATCTCCCTAGAAAGCACTACACCAGTGTAGGAAGTGGGCAACCACTTAACAAAACAGACTCTGATCTCTCCTGTGATGACAAACAGTTGCACCCCACAAGTAACGACTCTGAAGTGCACAATACCTCATCTTGTTACAGTCGCACTCCTCCGGGCGCTTCTTCTTCAGGTGGCCTCGCACCTCCCTCAGGTTTTTTATTTTGTTCTGCAAGGTTTCAATCTAAACCAAAGTGAAGACACAGTGAAACCAACACAGCCCCAGTCAGTCCTACCCGAACCCGCTCCAGCCCATTCCTGTGTCACCAAATGCTGCTTCTTCACCTCCTTCCATGACTCTCACCCCTGACAAACAGATTATCCACCTTTCCAAAAGGCAACTGCAGCAGGAGGAAGCCTCCTTGGCACCTTTTGCTGCTGGGATTACTGGCTGTGACAGCAGAACATGGCACTGGGAGCATGGGGAGACAGCCTCAGGCAGGGAGCCACTGCTGGTTCCACTGTGGCTCCTGCTCCTGTGCTCTACAGCACATGTGCAAGGGGAGAAAAATTAATGACAAAGATGTCAATGAAGTTTTACAGGCAGATTTCATAGGGCAAAGCATCTTCTGGGTCTTCATATTCACAAGCCTAAAAACAACCAATTCCATTCCAAAGTGCAAGGGTTAAGGAAAACACCAGCAAGCAAAATAAACCTAAAAGCACTGAAACCAATGAAGCTCCCTTTTCCTTGGGCTTCCATTTGGCAGCTGCAGGTGCACTGGGGAGCAGGGCTAATAAGATGTGGAAAAGATCCAGATGAAATTTTTCCCAGGGTGAGGACACTTTAGAAGTCTCTCATTTATCTCATAAGGCTTCTGAGATGTCTCAGCTCTCCCTTCAGCTGCAGCGCTCTCCTCCACTCAGCATCTTCACAACCTTGTAACAACAATTCATTATCCCCGAACTATCTACCCTGAAATCAGCCAGCAAGGTCACAAGGTCCCAGGGAGGGACAAAGACACCCAGAGGCAGACACGCAGGCACACACACAGTCCACATGATCCTGTCAGCCCATAGAAACTCAGGCTAGAAAAACCCACCCTGAAAAGGCACAACTGTGACCAGCACTGACCTCGTGGTCAATATGGAGTTTATGGTCCTTCCAAGCTTGCAGTGACCTGTACAGATCTGTGTCGCACTGAACGGTATCATTCTCCAGGATATAGCACCTTGGCAGGGAAAAGCAAACCATGATCATTACAGTGGCTACACACAGACAACATAAACAGCTGGTTTAATAACACAGCTCCAGGAGAGATGAGAAGCCAGACTGGAAATGACATGCAGAATTCAAAACACCGATGTTCATTCAGGAGAAGCAGGGTGTGCTGTGAGCCAGGGAAGGGGTCTGGGGTTCAGTTGCCATGGAAATTTGTCAGAAGTAGAAAAATTCAAGGAGAATATTCCTATCCAGCAGGACCTGTCAGCTGCTTAATTCCTGTATGGAAATTGTGCTGCACGGAGATCTTGCTTATTCATTAGGCTGCTATATAAACAATCCCTAGTAACTAGCAAGCACTGAAAGCATTATTCCAAAGCAATTTCCTGGGCCATGATTAAGTGATGAGGTAGGGGCAAGAATGAAGTACTTCTTCATAAGAGGTATTACTGCAACAGAAAGGGAGGAGAGGGGGGGAATAGAAATTTTGCTGTTTCCTATAAAAAGGGTAATTTTTTTCAGAGATATTTCCTGACTCCAAAGGCAGGAATTCCTCTGACAATTCCTTATTTTTAACCAGCTTCCGATGCAATCCAGGATTTACAATTTTTTCAAAACCAAACAATAATAAACCCAAGAAACAACCAACCCCCAAAAGCTCCACAAACCAACCCAAAACCAAGCACTTGACAGATTTACCCGAGAAGTTCACAAATACCATGTGCTCATTTTGAATGCTTGTTTCAATTAAAGCTGAGCACTTTCAACACTCCTTTATGCTCTTTAGACCACCTCACCCATGTTGTCCCACTGCTGCCTTTCCTTCAAGTGTTCTGGGGACTTCTCATGCATTATGCACAATGTTCCTGACAGCTCCTTCTATGGGTTTGGGATTCACCCACTAAAGCAGCAAAAAGTCAATTTGACTTCTTCCAGAGGAAAAGCACAACTATTGCTTTATGAGTGCTGAACGCTCCTGAGAGCTGGGGTAAGAAAGAGGCCCAGTTCCCTGGCGAGAATCTCCCCAGTGCATTTCCTCATATTAGGGAGTCTCTAACCCTGTCAACCCTTTGACAAAGTCAAATGGCACCCACCCATTTCCACAGAGCTGACTGGCTCCAGCATGTTTCCATGAGCAAGTCATTAAACAATGTGTTTAACAATAATTGGTGGGTATCCTGATAAATGACAAGCAGAAACAGTGACTAAACCAATAAAGCACAGCTGAAGATACATCAGCCCCTGGGCTTGCACACTGAGCAAAAGGGTTTTAGCTATTAGCATCCAGGCGTTTCCTGCACCTCTCCCTCAGTCTGTTTCATTTCCCAATGCTCCCGGTTCCCCAACTTCATTCATAATACACATTTTCCTCTCCTAGCACTGCCCTGCAGGAAGCTGCAAGAGGCTATTTCCTCCCCGAGGATCAATTTGGTGTTTGAAATACAAACCCGTGTCTGAAATACAAAGAATCTCATGTCTCAATGACGTGAGACCAGGTTACGCTGCAGTCTGAGCCTTTGCTCCTCAGCCAGGCCAGGGGATTCACTCCACATTGGGTTCATGGGTAAAGCATTTCCTGGTTTCACACCAGTGTACACACAACTGCTGCCACCCTTTTCTTGTCCTCACTGGAAGCATGCGTTGCTCAGCCACTGTGGTCTCCAAAGTGCAGAAGACACAAAAAGCACTGCTCTAGCTCTACAGAAGCTTCCTGCTCCTTTGTACGTGACAAAGTTAAACCACAACCAAAAGGTTATGTACAGATAAGAATTTTACAGAAGCTGGACCGGGTATCCAAAAGGGACACAAGGTGCTGATCACAAGCTCACACACCCATTTCTGCAAAGCAGCCACTAAGGCAGCAAAAGCTTTTAGAAACACACCACGTGCACTCACCTGTGGGTCACTTTTATCAGGTTAGGGGCTGCATACTCTGCAATGCCACCAGTGCCGCTGTACTCCCCCATGTCTTTATCTTCCTCCTCACGAAGAGCAGCCCTCTGCATCCTGTGCCTCCTGGAGATGTTTCTTGGTATGACAGGCTGGTATCCATCCTCCAAACCCACATTATAAACAGCTCCACCCAGCTCAACAGATACAGAACGAATAGAGCGATTCCGGACATAGCTTGGTTTGTATTCTGCATGGAAAAGCAAGTGAAGGGATTAAGAGGAGGAGAAACATCATGTTACAATTTGGTCCTCTTTGTGGTTCTGGGGAGGAAAAAAGAGCCCACACTGTTCCATTCGCAATTAACTGGATGACAAATGGTGCTTCTTGCAGCTGCCCTCTGAGCCTGCTGCCCCATTACCTTTTGTAGGGCTAGACAACTCGTGGGGCATGAGGAGAGGGCAGATATAACGCAAATGCACAAGGATGGCTGAGGGGAAAGAAACCGTCCTGGTCTCGTACCACTTCGAGAGCAGCTCAGAGGCTCTGCTCTTCCCCGCAGAGTCACTAGATGGCAGTCACGCCTTGGCAAGTAACCGCGACAGTCACGACTGCAAGGCCTGAGGTCACCCTTGCAGAGCAGCTCTTCTGTTTCCTCCTCTCCAGCGCACAAAGCTCCACACAAGGATTCCTGCAACGCTTTCCTGAGGTTGCCCCAAGTACTCCCAGTGTTCAGCCTGAGCCTTTACCCAACTCTGTGCTCATTTTTCGAAGTAAGATGCTTGACTGTTTGAGGAGGGATTAATATCCAAACCTTTCCTTTTAGCCACATCCAATTCTTTTCTTTCCAAGTGTGTTCCTAACGCGCAAACCAGTCAGTCTCTACACAACACATCACCCTCCAGTGCTGTGCACTCCTGCCAACTGCCTCTGCACTTGCAGCCCAAAGGCAGAAGGAAGCATTTGCTATGAATTGTCACTAGGCAGCAGGAGATTCTCACTCATCTTTTCCCCATCATTGCTTTCCAAAGTTCTCTGGCCCAGCTCAAATCCCCAGAGCTCCTCTTCTGTTTGGTCTGGAGTGATGCAAATGTATATGGTTATGGAGTCTAAACCCATATCTAAACTTCCCTGCTGTATGACAGGGTCCATCTCTGACCTTATTTCCTGCTCACTGCCCATAACTGCTGAGTCACTCATTGCAGTAAGCATAATCACCTCCTTGCTTGACAAAGAAGTACAGATTAAATACCACTACCTCACTTTTCCCTGGCCAGTGCCTGGGTCTTTGCTCTGTACATGAGGCTTGGAGTCATCTAAGGCATTGCTGGAAACAATGAAGTCCTGTGGCCCTTCCAGTCACCTCTCCTTTACACAGAGCTGAAACCCACCACACAGCCCACCAGACAGGACCTCCTTATCCAAGCTGTAAGGGGAAAACTCTACCAATGCGCCAAAGCAAAGAGCAATCTTCCTTGCAATCCCAAGCTCCACAGAAAAGCCAGCTTTCTCTCTAAGATAATCTCCCCAGCAAAACAAGCAGAGAAAAAGGAATGGGAGGTAGACCTACCTACATTGACAAAAGACATACTCATGTCAACTGGAATGCTTTGGCATTAATGCAGAGTGACTGTTCAAGAAGCCTCACATTAATTCCGAATAGATCGCAAGGTCTCAAAAGCCATTTTGCAGACTGTGGGAAGGGAAATAAACATCTCCTCCCACCTGAATTTGGTCCAAACACTATATTCTTGTCAGCGCCACACACAGAAAGTGGAACGCCAGCTGGATTGTCTGGCTCTGCACATTTTCCACCTGTGGTTCCGAGTTTATTGCTGATACTAAGCCAGGTGAGTCACTGCTGAAGGGAAAAAAAAAACCCAGAAGACCAACCCTATTTTAGGCACCCATTCAGGAAACATTTGACTAAATGAGAAGGAAACTCCCATCTTTTCAGAAGTAGGAGGAAGTTCCAAAAAGCTACACCCTAACAATTATATTCAATGTATAAACTCCCACTTCTTTAATTGTTCCCTCATTTCATCTTGTTAAGTTCAGCCAACTCACAATTTACCTTCCCCCCAAGTCGAAGAGGCCAATCCAGCATGCTGGACCTCAGCAGATACCTGCAGGGAACTGCCGTCTGCACACGTCCCTGCAGAACCGAAGCCAGGAGTTCCTCCTCCAGTGCAGCCAAACAGACCCAGCCTCCCAACCAACAAATTGGTCTGGAGTGGGGCAGCTCTGAGTCAGGAAGGACTTGGTGTATCGCTGCCTCCCAACGTGCTCCCCACAGTGCTCACTCAGAGCTGCCCTTAGAACCAAACTCCATCATTTTCAGAGGAAATGGTTTAGAATACATAATAAAATCAATACCCATCTGTGCTGGGCTCTCCCACCTGCAAAGTGCACTGCAGGCATAAATACCAGCCTCTAATTACTTATTAGTCAATCCTCCCCCAGGTTTAAGTTTTCCTCTCCAATTCATTACCTGGGTACACAGGCCGCAAATAAAGCAGATCTGGGGCTCTTAAATATTTGGCCCAAAGCACCTCTACTCCCTTTTTCAAGTTATTAAAGCTTGGCTCTGGTAAACTATGAGTCCTGATGCCTCTTCCTCTGCTCTTACAGGAGCCAGTTGTCTTAGAGATGGCACTGCTAAGCAGCTGCATCCTCAGAACTGAGTCAGGAGCAATTTACACCTGAGCAAGCCATGTTTCAGTGCCCCACACAGCCAGTTGTGGCTTCTTGGGCCACCTGAAAAGCATGCCCATTTTTGCTAGAGCCTCAAAGGAAGCATTCTGCCCTGGGCCAGATTATACCATGGTCTGGAGAAAAAACACACTGGATTTTTCACCCCTATTTTTTGGTAGAATCTCATGTTTCAACACTGCCTAGAGAAAGCACAAACTGCAGTATCCAAAATTATTATTCAACTGAATAAAGCAACACAATCTTGTATTATAAAAACATCGATTTCATATCTGACATAAATATGCCCAGCCTTTGAATTTAAATTTAAGTCACTCAAGCCTTATCACTTATTTTGCAGCCACCAAATCAATCACGTAAGACTGAGATCACTTGGAAATGATAATTCTCTCAGGGATAACTGGGAAGACTGTAGCCTACTGTAAGCACTGTATGGCATTTTCCCCAAAGCAGGAGCACTGCAGAAGGCAGCTCATGCTCTTCCCTGTGGACACTTAGTCTATGCACATATTTTGGACATGATGTATTTTCCAGCATCACAATGATGACAGAATAAGCCAGTATGCAAGGATGCATCTCCTACATGTGCCACAAGGAAAATACCCACCGCCAGCCTCATGAATTCCTGTTTTATGTAATGTCTATGTGTTTTCCAGAATTATATAGCAAACAGCATTTTCTGATCATAGAACAGTTTGGGTTGGAAAGGACCTTAAGATCATCAAGTTCCACTCCCCCTGCCATGGGCAGGGACACCTCACGCTAAACCCTGCCACCCAAGGCTTTGTCCAACCTGGTCTTGAACACCACCAGGGATGGAGCATTCACAACCTCCCTGGGCAACCCATTCCAGTGCCTCACTACCCTCACAGGAAAGAATTTCATACAGCACCAAAGTAAAATCAGACACTTTGGAGTCAAAGTTTTGGAAATATCTCTGGATCTAGGAAGCCTGATGAAGGCTCAGATATTTTCTTGGCCATTACGTACCTTGGGAGCTCTACAGATCTTATTCTGAAGCTGTGTCTTTAGAAATTTCAAAGAGGAAAAAAAAGCAACCCCAAAACCACGTTCTTAAATCCAATTTCTCAAAAGTGCCATTAAAAATTACACTCCAAATGCATTATCTTTAAAGTAACTGATGTTATTTTCTTTTAATGACAAAAAAGGTCATTTTGCTCCAGCATTGAGACCACCTCAAAAGAAAAATGAATGACATGAAAATTGGAATAAAGATGCACTAGCCCCTTTGTACACACTTCCGTTTGTTGTTTACAAATCTGTGTGGCCTATCATCATTTCTTTACATGCAGCTTAATAACTCCTTTAATCACATGCACTTGTTCATCACAGGATGAGGAGATTAAATCCATAGCAAGAAAAACATAATAGACCATAACACAGCCAAAGACTTTAAGAGCTATTACTTTAACCTTTCTTCCTACTGCAAAGCTTTGTTTCATCTTTCTTATAAAAATAAAAACATAGTCAAAAAATAAAGAGGATACAGAGATGCAAACATTCCTGACACCTAAATCCAGATGCACCAAACACTAATGGCTTATGTGCTTCTAGAATGTTAAAGCTTTGCAGGCAAATTGTGTATCTGTATATAGACCAAATGGCAGGCCCGACCCTGTGCTGCAACTGGCTTTACTCAGTTTAGAAAACACTGTTGCCTGCTAAATGCACCCGAGCACCTGACAATGGGTCTGCACCATCCTTGCATTAGAAAGTAATTATTTTATCAAAACATTTGGTGTTCCAGCCCCTCTATCAGCAATTCAGTCTGGTCTTAAGACCACGCGTTCTCACTACACATGACTGGTTTTAATCTTTCTGAAAGACCAATCCTCATACCCCCATTAGGGTTTGTAACATGCTGGATGCACCCTAGAAGCAGGGCATCCAATTTAGCTTTCTGCAAATGACTGTAGATTAGAATCCATCAAAATTGCTCTCTGCAAATCCATCTCTATTGTGCATGACAGAAGGGAGCTATCAGGGTGTTTCCTATTGCTGTGAGCTAAAGCATTAATGTGGATGTGACCCTAACTCAGTTTGAAACTTCTGTTTTCTGTTTAGCTATTGTTCAGTCTGATGAACAGCATTTACCAGCACTCAAATATGTCTGCAGTCTGATCCCATGCACCCCCTAATTCTGAGAAGCCAACTCCAAAGGTGCCCTCAGAACAATGCAACCCAGCACAGCTGCACTTCATCACAAATCTCATGGAATGGGTCATAAAAATCCAAATACACATTATGGGTAACCAAGTCTCCCTCTTGCCATTCACAAGCCAGCGAGCCACTGTTCTCGATAAGCTGTACAGAGAAGCCTTGGTGTGGTACCTTGTACTGCTTTGTGCTCATTTCAAAATTAGCTTAGTAGGTACTAATCAGCTTGCAAGGCAAATATAATGGGAGAAAATCAATTTAAACTCTCTGTTTGAAGCTTGTGCCAGGTCATTATACAGAAAGACTAATCTGCTAAATAATTAAGGCTCTGTATTCGTGGAGTGAGACGAAAGAAGTATTACAAGTGAATAATAATTCTGTGCTGCCGTTTGCCTCTTTAGTCTATAATTAGACTACGTACTTCAAATATAGATGTTAGCCTGACTAAGGTTTAACCCAGAGCCAGTGAAATGGGCTTTCTGAAAAAGCACCCGGTCTGTGCCAAGGAAACTAGAAACAGTCATCCCCTTTGGACGTGATCGCTGGTTAAAAGTCAGCCTTGTCTCTGCTGGCTGAGCACAAGGAAAGGATTTTAGGAGCGAGCAGCTTCTGTGGCAAAGCACAAGCATCCTTATTAAAAATAAATTACTGCAGTAACAGCTCTAAGCCTTGCAGTAGCTACTGAAAACTGGGCTATCTGCTGTAAAACACTGTTCATGTTTCATGGCCTATGTAACAACGGGCTACTTGCCGCTTCAGTGTGTGTACTGTGGTCCCCAGCTTCGAAAGACATAAATACTGAGCCCTGTTTTGGATCAAAACACTCCTCTTTCCTACAGACAGGGATATTTTCAAATCTCATTGTCCAATATGAGACACTCTCAAACTTACACAGTAAATATGATGATAGAATCCAATGCCTATGAAAACCAGGACAATTACATGTGCTAGTGAACAAACTCCTTAGTTTTCTAAGGCAGAGACAGAAGATACAGGGGGTCACTTACTTTTCTTGGAGAAGAGTTTCTTTCTCCGTCCGATGTGGCTCAGCTTGTATTCATTCTCTTCGCAGTTGCAGTCTTCATTATTCCTGCTGTAATACTTGGGTAAAATATTGGAGGTGCCTTTGCTGTTGCTGGCAGCTGCCAAGTTCGCCATTCCCTTGCACTTGTGTAGCTTGAGCTTTCCACTGGCATCTTCCACACACTGCCATTTCTGGAAGAAAAATCTGGTCATTAAAACTGTCCCAACTGTGCTTTGTCTAATGGCCAGCTCCAGCAATCTATCAGAGCCTCCTCGTTGTAGTAAGCTGGGGCTCATCTATCACCTACTACCAAAACCCATTTTTTGTAATCTTCCCTTTTCAGGCAAAACAGGAACTCTTTGCAATACTTCCATTTGTTTCTGATTGTTTCCTGGAGGCAGAACAAAAGGAATTTCTTAACAGAATCAGTACTACAGGTAGAAATATGGAGATCACAAGTGACAATTTTCAGAAGAATAACTGTGGCGTGAATCTAGGAGGTTCAAGCCTTACCCACAGGTTTGAAAAGAATCCCTGCCTACCAGGAAGTGTGTTTGTCAGGTTTACAGGAATCTATGTCACTATTATGCCATTAAACCAAGCTTGTGGCCTGCAACTCATCTGAGCCCCATCCCATACTCTACAAGAAGGGAAAATCTTTTTGGAGGAGTCTCTTTCCTCATTCAAATGCCTGGTGGTGGGATGATTTTATCCAAGTTTTGGATTCCTTTACTGTAAAGGATCTGATCTGAGTTGGGTATTTAGACTCACTCTGCAATCAAAGAAGAGGACTAGTTACTTCCAGGTTATAATTCCCTTCATCCTAAGGCAGCCATATAAAAGAGGTAAGAAACAGGACTGCCCTGCAGAAGTGCCTGTTTCTCTTCACTGACCTTTAGAAGGGTTGGTATGGCTGGATCAGCTATAGAAGTCTGTAATTAGAAGAGTTTAGCTCCATACTGAGTCTCCATATTTATCTCCATGTTGCTCTTCACAGCTTTTCCCATCCAACACCCCTGGGCTGACTAGCACTGGTGAGCTGCACTGGCTGCCTATGAAGCGAGAACCCCCCCCCTCTTCCACTCAAGACTACAGAGAATCTCCTCTGTGATCTCCAGCTCCTTTTGTTGCTCAAAACCTGAAGTAACTTGCTTATAGTTCCTGTGTGCTGCTCTCAGAGCTGTGCCAAGGGCAAGGGAGTTATAGCCACCTTCAATCTGGCACAGAAGTTCCACCCACTTCCCAGGTACATCACAGAACAATTTCACCTAGTCCTTTATTTACCAACATGCTGCTAGCTACAGAGCTAGGCTTTGAGATGTGCAATGCCCCCCTCACAGAATCAGTTGCTACTGCTTTAAACAGAGTGCCTCAGAAACACTTGAGCTTTTTGCTGAGTCTTGAGAGGCGTTCCTTTTTTTCCCTATTGCAACAGCCGAAGTCTGTGCCTCCAGGACTCACTGGAATATTGAAAATTTTCCAAATAAAAGAACAGAAGGAAAAACAGCAACAGCTCCCAAGTGAGATGGCATTTTACTGCAGCCTGCAGCTCTACAAGGCAGATTCAGTCACTTCAGTTCCCATAGAGGTGTACCCAGGCTGAGACAACAAAGCCTACATCTTCCATTGAAGTTCACTCCATTGTTTGCATGATGACAAAGCAAGAAAATAGTATTGTGCTTTTACGCTACAGAATTTAACAGGAGTCAGAAGTGAACTGGCCAGTTAAAGTGGATTTATCTATGTCCACAGGACAGCCTCTCATTTAAAATGAACAGTTTTATGGTGTGTCCACTTATTTCCTCAGACAATTGGATGTCAAGTCTCCAGGGCTGTAATTGCTTCTTAGGTGCAGATACCGTTTTCAACCTACTGTATGACCTAAACTTTGCACTGATGCAGATAAACCCGGCTTAACTTTCAGCACAAGAAGTCATAGGAAATCAATGAGAGATACTGACAATGACACCTGAATCAGACATCTTTGCATGACTGTCCTCATCAGGAAAGCAGGACACACTTACCTAGAGGGAGTGTAGAGCAAAAACAGCCTTTGAAGAATGAATTGCTGAGCCTTAATTTATTATTTTTTAGAAATGCCTAACACTGACTGAGGCACAGAGTAAGGCTTGCAGGAAAAGTTACTTACTAGAATAAGCAATGGTTTCTTTCACAATGAAAAAAAGATGTAAAAATGTTTGTTGCTGTTTCCCATTTCAATTCACCTGAATCTTATTTTTAAAAGCATATGAACAAACTGCATTTTCTGCTCAGCAGAGCTCTATGCTGTAGGTGTCTGATACATGAAAAATGAAGATTCAACAGAGGGCAAGTTAAATGCCATGAGGAGAACTACTGTAAATAAGTGCTCTGATGTGTGGCCCAACAATATTTTTTCTCTATTTCTTTCATCTCCTGTCAAGAAAAGTGATGCTCATTTTTCCCCTCCAGGTGAACTGGAAAAAATCCTTTAATTTTTGGTGCAGTTTAAATCTTTCCAAGGCAGCTGTATGCTACAGTGAAAACACCTTAAAGGCTTTGCTGGAAGGGCACGCTGTATGCATTAACTGGCCCACTGCCGAACAACCGCAGTGCAGAACTACATAAATGACTCCAAAAGCAAACACTGAACACATGGGGGGGGGAGAAAGGGCAAAGGAAAGTCCAAAGCTTTTACTTTTTCCCCAGAATAGCTATGGGTACGTGCATGAATGTATCTGGGATTCAACAACTCTCCCTTGGTCTGCTTGTAGGTACAAATGCAAATTGTCTATATTAATTTCAGTCATTTTCACAGGATGCTTTCAAGCTTAGGAAAAAGGACAGCAATTGCAAGGGAACTGTGGAAACCTTGGCTTGACAGTGAAGAAGCTTTAAGCATTGTGAATTTTGGCATTTGAAATCCATTTCTACTGCACAGCATACCATCACACAGAAACCTGTGTCAAAGCCTAGAAGCGACTAAGTTATTTTGTAAGAAGTAATCACATAAATAATTAAATTACTGTATGAAGAACTCCAGAGTGCCCCAGAGATACTTTGGCTCACAGGTATGATGATAACCATCCAGCAGCAAAACTTAATTACATGTACGGATTAACTCAGCCAGTCAGGAAAACAAAGTGACCTTAGTTCACTACCTGCCCCTAACTTTTCAGGTCTTTTCTTCATTAGGCCAAAAGACATGCTCCTAATTCAAGTCCTATAGCTCATAACATCTCGCAAGAGCTAAGTCTGGAAAAGGAGGGCACTTTCATTGCATAAAAGTCAGTGGAAAACCCAAACTCCCACACAATCTTCCTCCCAGCTCATATCAAAACTCCAAAGGAAGACCCTTGTTTTCCTCCTGCAAAGCCTTGCAGAACAGCTACTCATACCACCATATAAATGGCTTTTGCAATATGTCCTGAAGTCCATCAAGCTCACATTGTGCTAAACTTTCCAGACACCTCATTTAATCATTAGAGTCTTTCCAGCTGGAGGTTTCCCACCATCCTTGGGCAGGCCAAGTTAGCTGCTGTGCTTGTGCTTTCTGCCACCTACTGTGCTGGGCTTGTTCTAACATTTCTACTCCATCCTCTACCTTACCTCCCACTGCACAACACATGCTCCTCAGTTATTTGTCTGCAAAGCAGAAGAGTCTGGGCTTTAGTTTAATAGAGAAATTGGTGTTACTGAACAGAAATCTTTTCAAAGATATACTGCAAAGGCAAAAAAAAAAAAAAAAAAGACAGACAGATTGTAACATATATTCTCCCCTCCAGCCCAAACTACTGCTCTATGTACAAGAGTTAACACAAGAGTAAATGAGGACTTCAATATCTGTGAAACATGAATCTTAACAGCAGCAGTTGTAGACTGAACAGCTGCCCTGTTTTCCTCCAGTAACACTATTCACCTTGAACATGCTAATGACCCCTCAGCAGAAAAAGACATGTTGTATTTTTCAGTGTGTCAAAACCCCATTATTTCCTTCACAGCCCCCCCATCACCATGAAGTGTTTTTTGCATTATTGTGCACCAACGTCGTCTTACTGCTACAGCAATCACAGATGTTAATCCAAAGTCATTACTTGAGGCCCCAATCAGAAATAAATAGCCATGACCTTCCCATAGGATTTTTTTTTTCCTACAATTCACTCATTTCCCTGAATCTCTCTCAATTGACATTGTTTTCTTTGGCGGAAAAGGGATGATCACACAAACCTTGCTAAGAAAAGATTCCAGTTGAAACAGAGTTTTCAGAGCTGAGCCCTAAATCATCATGCTGCGTCTCATCAGTTCCTCTTTTTGTTAAGCGAAAGAGATTCCATTCCTTTTTACAGAGAAGGGAAAAGTGAAACTGTCTGATCAGTCAGCTGCCAGCAAGGCTCCCTCCCTAGCAGTTTTAGGAACACAGCCTCTAGGAATCAAAGTTTCTGCAGGATAATAAAGCCCTCTGTCCCTGCCAGCAACCTGACAAAAACACTTCAGCAGTATCCGTCACCTTTAGTTATGTGGATGCTGTCTGAACCCCACACTTGCTGCCACACTGGATGGTGAGCCAGAAGCTGCTTTGATGGCTAGAAACATTCTGACTTCCAGTCTAAATTGATTTATGAGTAGTAAGGATACATTTTTCCTTGTATGAAACAGTACAGTCACAGTTTAGGTAGTAGGAAACAGCTGAAGTTACAGTTTAGCTCTTCTTTGTTGTGGTTTGCTCCTTGTGTTATTTTTTATTGGACTAATGAGGACAAAAGAGCAAAAGCCAAAGACAGAAGCAAGCCCATTCCTTACAGAAGGCAGTTCTACTGCTCATGCTGGCAGCTTGTCCTTACAGACTTCACAGTCAAATTTCCCATTGTTTGTCTCCTACACATGACTGCTTCTCTGTCCTTGTTGACTGAAAATAATCGGCTCATGTTTTCTGTATAACATCTCTTAGGTTCATGCAGACAGGTTCCTCTCTCCTCAGCTATTTTTTGGACAGTTCCTTACCTCCTCCCAACAGGTATTATTTTCTTAATCTTTTAACATTTTGTTTGGGTTTCCCCATACCCTCTTTCCAGTTTATCTATTGGCAACAAGAGCCTGGTTTCCTCTATGCCATGCAATATCTAAATAGCATTGCCTCGTCTTCATTCTAACTGGACATTATTTCATTACACTGACTCGTCATATTTGGCGATTCAGACCTTTGGGCTCTCAGCTCAAGTTCAGTTGTCACACACTACAGATCACTTAAACCTTAAAATTCTAAGACAGATGAACAATTTATTGACAGAAAATGTGGAGGGTGCTTTTTAATGCCACAAACAGCAGCTGAACCGGGGCAGGTGGGACAATCAAACCTGAAAAATCAGGTATTCTGCTAAATTTATGATTACAATTATAATTCATTTATTATTAATATAATAATTGGTTTGTGGCATCAAATGGTCCCAGCTGCTGTGTTAGGTACTGCAGAAGGAGTGAGTGCAGCCCAAGCAGAAATTACATTAGCGGTGGAGGAAAAGCCCAGCAGCACCAAAATGGGAATCAATTTGTCTGAGGTCCCACAAGGAGTCTGTAACAGTTCTGAGACCAAAGCTAGTCTCGTGACCTCCAGCTCATTCCCTAAACTAAACTGAACTAAACTACACTGCTTCTCATACTGGGATAGTTAAAAATTTGGGGGGTTTATTAAATGTTGATATTGATTTTGGGAAGCTACTTGCAACAACCACTGCTGTAATGGCAAGGAGTTTAAAAATCCCAGTTAACAAGAGATTGAAATTCCTTCATTTTGTGAAGCAACAAGGAAAAAACCACGTAATAAAATAGCCTCTGGAAAGCATTATAGGCTATTTCTGGCTAAAGGAGGAAAACAATTTTGTTAATTACAATCCCTGATAAGGAAGACAACCCCTGAATAACAGCCTTAATAAATCATCATGATTTTAATTTTCATGGTTTGTTGCCTCCTAATTTTATCAGTTTGAGGGCTGATAAAATTTTTAATGTATGAAGTTATCAACAAGTCATTTCTTGTTGCAATCACAGGTTAAGAACCTGATCCTGAAAGTTGCTGAGCATGTGCAACTCACACTGGAATTCAGGAACTCCATTTGCCTAAAGAGCTATTAAAATTATCTGGACTCTAGCTGCCTTGATACGCTTCACTTATCAACAGAACTTGCATTCTTTAGTAACCTCAGGATATCTCTGCTAGGTACAAAACAACCAGACAACCACAAAAGATAAATCAAAAACTTTTTGCTCAGTTTTTAAAGAAATTCCTTATAAAACCTGACTTCATTTCTTAGGTCTGGCTGACATAAGTTCAAGCTGTAATGCCCTCAGGAAAAGGAGAAAAATATAAGTACTTTTTTCTGCTGCTCCACCCTTGGTACTAAGCAATGGCTAATAAAAAACATTGCTAGCCATTGGCAGGCATATGGTCTAGAGGTACCACTTATGAACAGCTGTAGGAAAGCACACACTGATCAGAGTAGTTTTCATCACTGCTATACCATGCTATGTCAGAGAACTGGGTGACATGATTTTACTGCTGATACCTTCATGCCAGTTGCAAAAGAATATCCCTTCATGATCCTGGTACATCACAAAGCAATCAGAGGGAAGACTGTGTCAAACCTTTCATCTGCAGAATATCTGAAGGAAACAAAGTGCAAAGTTTGGATTTTGAATGTCCTCCTGTGCAAACTGTGCTATAAAATGATATTTTAAATGCTATTTAAAGCGATATTCTACTTGGATAAGATTTGCACATAGAGTTGTGAAAATAAAAAGGATTTGAAAAAAAGACAAACTGTTTTTCTTTCCAATTTAGCAATATTATCATGCTATGGTCTGCTAAAGACAAAACAAATTTTGGGGTTGTTTGGTTTTGTTTTTTTTTTCCACACATACAGCACAGATTCCCTATAACAATCAGCACTGCTGCAGGTATTGCATGTTTTTCAAATGTGCTCAAAGTTGGCAAATGACTTAGAGGGGGATTTTGTGCAGCTGTTGTTATGATACTGAGGAGTTGCTGGGAATACTCTACCAAGCAATGCTGATATCATAATTGGCTTCACAAAAGCACATTAATGCAGGCCGCCAGATAAAAGTGGGTCAGCTTCCACTTACCAGCCAGTTTGGAATGAAAGGCCGAGCTACACTGAAGAGAAAAAATTTGTGTGGAAGCCATTAGGTACTAGGATAAATGTTTTTTATTTCATGTGGGAAGAAAGAGCTCATCTCTTTTAAATCCTTGAATATAAATGCTGAGCTGCTCTTTCATCTGAGCCTACAGTCACCCTTTGTTGGATGCAAATAACTAACACAGACCAAGCCCTTCTAACTGAAAAAGAAAACATGGCAACACACAAATTCCCATTGCACTCAGAAGTATTTACATATATTAGTATTGCCAAAAAAAAAATCCCACATAATGGACACTGAAACAAGGTTTTAAACAGCATGAATAGCCTCATCTCCATGGTCCTGGTGCTCTCTTATCAAAACGATTATAGGTCAAGGAGGGTGACAGATTTGCAAAGGAAGAGCATTTTGTGGTGATAGAACTGTATTCACAAACTTGCGTGCTCACAAAGTGGAATTTCAAAATCTCTATCTCGCATTCAAAGCTTTCTTTACCTCTCCTTTACTCTAAAAAGCTCTGTCCTCATCTCTTCTCATTCACTCCCCTTCTGAGTCTTTGTCCTCCTCATCTCCTGTTCACACTTGATTCCCTGGCACTGCTCAGACTCCTCTGTGCATGGAATAGCAGCCCCCCCAAACTTAAGTCAAAAGAAAGGGTCCAAATGACTTTATCAAGCTTTCACCTAATTATGACCCAGACTTTTGTTCATCTTTGCACTAGGATATGAAAATTCACCTTTTGCACTGAACACTCCAGACACTGTTAAATGCACAATCATAAAGTGTCCTGCAGGATCAGGGGACATCTGCTAAATAACCACTGTATCTGTATACCATAAACGCCCACAAGGCAGTGCTATGTTATTCATTTGGACTTGTTCTATACTACGCAGAACTGTGAACAGCACCAGCAAACAGACAACACCTATTTGTCATCTGAAAAGTTAAGTCTTGCTTCGCTCTGAAAGGACTTTTGGGTGCACCCATATTTACATGCAATTTATCCCCAAATAAGCACATTCATTTCCCACTGTTCCTGCTGTCTAGACAAACTACTAGGACATATTCTCTAGAGCAGAGGCTGGATGGATTGACCTTCCCTTGAGAGCCCTTCCCAGGCTCTAATTGACTTGATTGTTAGGCAATTTTTCCTGATGTCCAACTTAAATTTCTTTTTTGCTCAATTTCATCCTATCACTTCCAATTATGTCTGACTGAACTGCTCAAAACAATTCTTCTCCTCTCTGTCTCCTGACAATGAGGATGCAGCACACACATCTCTTATTAGCACACCTTCACCTAAGAGTTTATCACCAATTCTGAGTACGGAGTTGACATTTTATGCCCACTTCTCACAGATGTCAAAGATACTTTATTATCTGTGGAAGAAGACATAAGCCTGTGAATGCACATAGACAATATAGGGCCTTCCCCCTTCCTTCCATAACTGAGACATGTGGTAATTAGAGTAAGAAAGCCTGAATGTAGCTAAGTTACCTTATGCAAAGAGACAGCTTCAGTGACAACATGGACTTGGAAAGTCTCTCTTTCCCTCTGTTCTTACAAGAGCGTTCAAAATAATTGGGACGATAAAGACAAAAGGAAGAAGTTGAAACATCACCCAAAGGGAAAATACTGATGGAAAAAGAAAAGCTGTATTTCCCCAAACTACTTACTGATGATGCTGTAGCAGAAACAATGACTTTTTCCCCAGTTTCCCAAAGCACATTGTGAACTCAAAAAACAATGGCTTGCTCCCACCCATCTGAAATTTCAGCTCAAGACATCTGATGACAATAAACCACTGCACAAAATACTTCTTTAAGTTCAGTATTTTTACGAAGAATAGGACATTATAATCTCTTTGTATACTGAATCTGACAAAGAAGCCACAGGAGGCAAACAGCATCTGGAAAATGCTTATACATATAAATTGGATCCAAACACCTAAGGAACGATGGACTCATTTCACAGGTGCACTGTGAAATGATTGGTAGAGGCAGAAGCAGGGAGCCTGGCCTCCAACAGTAGAAAATGAGCTACTGTAGCCTAAGTAGCCCATTACTGCATATAGCCTTGGTAAGCTGTTGAGATTGTGTCTGTAGGAACAGTTATACAGAGACCAACTTATTCGGAGCTGCCAGGTAATGCCAACCTTAAAACAGACACATACATCCATGTCGACAGGCAAAATGCATTACAGTCCTTGGAAGGGGGTACTCTGACCAGTACCTGAACAAGAAAGCAATGGCATGGAGTCAATTTTGCCACATTTCCAGAGGATGAGAACTCCCCTAAGAGTGATGCTGCTGAACATTGCTTTGTTATACCTTTGCACTGCTCTGGTAAATTTGCAAAACATTCTCCTGCATGGAGGCCATGTTTTGATACTACTCTAAGCAGGTTTTTCCCCAGTTCTTCCACATAACTTGGATCTAAAGTGAACGTATTTTCACATCTGCCCAGAACCATTACGTAACAACAACAGAAATAACACACAATGAAAGACTTTTGTGCCCATATAGACACAAACTGCCTGCAGCCATAACTTCATGTTTTTCACAGCATATTTTTGTTAAGAAGAGGGATATACAGAGTTCCTAGAATGTTATTTTCCCATTAGCATACATAATTTCAAATAATAACAACAAAATAAATTAAATTTGGAAGAGGCCAATCTGATAAGTTCGTACCTTCTCATCACTAATGAATCTCAGACCGCATCCTATTTGGGGAATAAAATGTTAAAACAGCCCAGGCAGTTCTCTTAACAGTAGTCAGGAATCAATACAGAGGCACTTGAATCAGCAATTTCCTGAATGACAGTCAGTTTCATAAATGCTGTAATACAGTTCTGAGCAAAGGCCACAGAATGAGCCATTTGATTTATAACCTAGCACTGATGACAAGGTGAAGAACATTGTCACAGTTAAGCCCAACTACAACTGCTTACTTTCGGTCAGGGTTACAATGCCCTACCTGACCAAGCTGCTCACAAGCTGTTTGATACTCAGCTCGCTGACAAAGGTCTTTCACACGCTGGTATTTGGGTAGAAAGTTTTCTTCTTGGGCATCTACCTTCTCATTCTCCCTTTTATGCAGCAGTTTACTGGAAAAGGGAAAAAAATATTTTTACATTAATATTAATTCTAAGGCATACATAGAGTTTGCTGAAAAGGTTCAGAGGTGTAGATTATCTGTCAAGTCCATAGCATCACCGGTAAGCAAAACTTAATAGTCCAGTAGATACACTAGCATATATCATCATCTCTGATAACACACAAGTTATTCATATCATGCTCTCAGGGAGTGTACAAAAACATACAAACCCAAGACAGTGCATTTCATGTCTGATTGGCAGGCAGTAGCAATAGTCAGTATAAAGAAACCATATCCCCCTCACTCTCCAATTTGCAGACCCTTCGTGCTCTATGTTATGCATTAAGGCAGAGGCACAGAGGGAATGGCCAGCAGGTGAACACAGATAGAGGAAGGGTTATTCATACTCCTGTGATACAAGCAGGAGGGTGAAGGGCAGCAGCTGAAAGAAAAGCAGGATGCCTTTCCATCTCTCAATCCAAGCAAAGCTTCCCTTCCCCCACCCCAACAGTGCATTTAAGCAGGCTGTAGGCAAAGGCCATACATTCCCTCCTATCACACAATTATTGCCATTAGGCATACTGCAGCCGTGTCCCTGCTGGCACAGCTAAATGGCTTTAGGTCTGTGGTAGAGTGCTGCTTTGGCTTTAGCTATTCAGTATCCTTCTATTTAAAGAGACTTGGCTTTGTGATTAACACTTTCCTTACCCTCTTTCCACCAGGAACGAGTCTCTCCACACCTTCATCTTTTTCTTTAAATGGAACCTAGGAGGAAATGAGGAGAGGAAGAAGCAGTTCCCATAAAACGAATAATCAAGTTATGCCCCACTTTGCACTCCCACGCCCAAGTCAGACAAGAGACATTACATATAACTTTACATGGGGACATCCAGCTTTATGAAGCAGACACATATGCCTCTCCAGTATAACTGATGAGCAAACACAGGACAGATTTGTTCTCACAGGGACAAAATCCACAACAGACTCACCCAGTACAGCTATTTCAACATAAGCATGTTTAAGGCACGGGGGATTAACTGAATTGTCCTTGATCACAAAGGATCACAAATCAAATCAGGATTTCCTGAATCCAGTTTGGGCTCTTAACCTACAAACTACCCACAAAGTATCCTATTCTAAAGCAGCTGCTCCTTTCCCCCTCTTGCAAAGCAAATCTTCTTCCCTTTTTCTGCTGATTCTCCCTAGCAAGCATACAGCCTTAATTCTCTTCCTCAGTCTTTTTCCAACAAAAGTATTGATGGAGATCATAAATAACTGTGTAATTCTAAGTGCTACCCTGTCTTTATATTATAGCCTGGTACACAATCGACCCTTTCACCTCAATTATTTTACAATTTATTCAATTTGAAATACTTTGCTACAAATGACACCACAGAGACACTTAAAATCTATAACTCATATAGCTACTTGTGTAGCCCTCTCACTGCTACAAAGATTACATTTGGTATACCTAGATGCCGTATAGCTAGTATATGAACCTGACAAAATGAAAATAAATAACTAAAGTCAGTCACAAATTGCCAAACAGGGAGTGAATGATGCACTCATATAAATGGTAATTTTAGTATATTTTCCTTTAAATTTGCTGCATGTTGCTGAATGCTTGCTCAATCTCCCGTACAAACACATGCATGTTTCCAGGCACGTTTCATTTCTTACCTATTCAGTGGTCTCTCAGAATCCAGAAGCTTTAGAATGGATTTACCATCCATATCAGAGGGAATATCCAGTCCAGCAATATCTAGAATGGTGGGTGCAAGATCAATATTCAGCACAATGTGAGGATTCCTGAAAAAAGCATATGAGAAACTGGTTTAAATCTATGCAATGTTATCAAGCAACTCCAGCTCTTCCACAGAGACCAGGGATCTGAAAAGGCTTATCTGTGACATCTGCAAAGAAGAAAGGAGGACACAATCTAATTCCTTTCCCTGATGTGAATTAAAATGTAAAATATAGGGAAGTTGCATAACCTCAAGAGGGACTAATAGGCAGATTTAAAACTTCATCACAGAACATTTTTGAGAAAGCAAACTAATTTATAAGGCAAAGGTAGTTAATTACTGCTAAAGAAGGTTCAAAAGTCTTTCAAAACATGAGAACACACTGGAAAAACTCCTTGGGTGTCTTACAGAATCAAAGTGTCTGCCAAATATGCTCATGACTTTATTAAAAAGTAGATTTGGCAGGTAGCATATGCTTTATCTGTTTCAAAATATGGTACAGAAAGAAGTACCTCAGCTTATATCACAGCCAGCATGTTCTGAAGAGAACATGAGGAGACATATATTGCTAGACATTACAGTAAATAACTAATAGTTGCTGTTAATGTAGAGTTTGAGACAGAAGGAGGACAGGATCAGGAAAGAAAAAAAGAGAGAAGCAGCAGTTATGCATTAAAAAGATGGGGAGAACTGAAAGAGAGAGGGAAAAGAACAGCTTTAATTGAAATAAAATCAATCTTCCCAAGCACGCAGTTAGCCATTCTTCAAACACTTGGAAGCAGCAATGCTCTGTCACTTAGCACAGTATAGCACATGCTCCTCAGCCACCAGTTTAACAGGGCAGTATCTGAACTCAAACTGACTTCAAATTTGGTTAAAATATTGACATCAACTCTTGAGTAGTACAGACAGCTCCTATCCCTGGATCCTTTGAAATGCCATAGCTAAACATGAGTGATTTTGCGGATCAGAGCATCTAGCTGCACAGCCCAGCATTCAGTAGCTAAATGAATGCCCAGATTACTAATCATGGGACTTGGTTTTACTATAGGTCTGGTGTTGCAGAACTGTTTCAAACTTATATCAAATATGTCTATGACCATGCTGTGTAATTACTCACAATATTACATATACACACACTGTTTATCAGCTGTGTGCTATTTCTTTTCCTTATTTATTTAAAAAACAAAACAAAACAAAAACAACAAAATCAAGGAAGGCACTCAATTTCTTTAAAGTGGGGGAAAAAAAGAAAGCAAGCATAGTGCTCTCCAGGCAGTCTTCTACAGTGCTGAACATAAAGAATCACCGTGGGATGATCTGCAGGCACAAAGGAAGGATGGGACCAGATGGGCTGCTATATACATGTCAGTGCAGAATTCTAGCTCAAAATACAGGACAGAAGAAAGCTGCTGCACTCTAATTAATGAGACACGATTTAAAAATTACTACATTTTTGAGCAAGCGAGCAAACAGGCACTGACAAGAGCATGGATGATGAATTAAATTGATGTACCTAATTTGATTTTAATTACTAATAATTATGGTGTAGCATATTTGGTAATAGAAATGAGAGCTTGGTAATGACTTGCTACAGTGACTGCTGTTAAATCTTCATTGGTATCAAAAGGGAGTCATGACAATTACTCTGCAGGAAAAACACAAGTTTCACGCAAAGCATGGATGATTGAAGTTTCACCATTTAAAGAAAATTGGGGTGAAAGGGAGGATCAATTTATTATCTGATGTATTACCCCTCCAACCTATCTTATTCTGTTCTTCCTATTTGTTGTACTGCGATGGACTCTGTTCTGCTAGACCCTGTCAGGCTGACTCCTCTGATTCTAACAGAAACATTTTTTTGCTTTCATAAGACACTGAAAAATAAAACTCAGTGGGAAGGTCTCACAGCTTTTATGCATGTCTGGATGTAAAGATCCTTGAACTAAAGTGGACATGAGGCTCCTGGTCTCTAGCATTGCACATTGCAGAAAAACTACCTCAGTCCACTTGGGCACTGTCTTTCCAGGAAGACCAAAAACTGCAGTTGAAGGGACAGAGCATACTCTTAGAAGGCTACTGCAGCTCCCTGGAAACTCTGTGCTGCTGCAGACAAGCTTCTTTCAGTGCTGAAGTAATATGTTTAATTCCACCTGAGAAATCCCTCCCCTGTGCTTTAGAGAAATAGTATCATTTCACATGCATAACTACTGTAAATAAATTAGACATACAGTGCAGTATCAACTGAATTTCACATTTTTGTGCCTACTGATGATGTGAACCAGTGAATTTAAGCAGCAAATGGAATGAGATTTTTTAGTAAGTATTTGCTACCATATTACACACTAGATCTGTTCCTCTGTGGTAAAGAAAAAAAACTGTATGGAAGACTTTGTGTGTGTTAATTATGCTAAAACATGCACACTGATATAAATAAAAGGCAGCAAATTATGGCACTCTGTCCAAAATCATTACTTAAGTGCAAATATTTGCTATTGAAATAATTGCTTAGAAAGTGTATTTACATAATTTCTTAGCTGATCAAAGCTACCACTTTAATTAACAGTCACATTCTGCATGCTTGTGTGCATCCGACAAACAGCCATAACCATGTAATCTCAAAGGATAACCCAAAAAGAATCTTTTGTGCATAATAATATATGAACTATTATGTACATTATCCTTCATAAACTGAAACATGTGACTCCATTGTAATGTTCAGCAATAATGATGTACTGTGGCCATAAACATTATACACTATATTTTTACCTTGAAAATGTCCTAGGTCTGTGTATTATTTGTATGCCTCAAAAGGAGGCAAAAAAACATTTCCTAGTTCAGACCTGTTTCAAAGTGGCTTTTTCAGCTACATCCACAAAAGTTCAGTGGCTTGTACTGCATACCTACACAAGCACAAAGGTAAATGGCATGAAACCGTCACTCTGTCATACCAGTTATACCAGCACGTGCTACCAGTTCTACTTTGAGTAGACATATTTTTCTGTCAATAATGAGGAGGAAGTGAGTCAGGAGGGGCAGAACCTTGTGCCTCCATTTGGATGTCAGGTCAATACAACTACAGATGTGAACACAAAGGATTTTTCTGGTCACACACACACACTAGCCAAGAACTTACAGGGACCCAGCCTCCACATTTGGACCTCGGACGTAGAAAGGAACTCTGATGTCAAACTCGTAGGGCATGGACTTTCCTTTCACCAGCCCAAACTGTCCAATATGATAACCGTGGTCTGCTGTGTATATTATATACGTATTGTCCAATTCACCTGTTTCAACCAACGTATTGTAAATCTGAAACAAAACAAAACATGAAATTCATTCCACCGAGTAGTACTCTATAAGTTTCTGCCTATGTGTAATATACAAATAAATAACTAGAGTTCAGGGTAGCACTGAGTTATCACAATGCACCATTTTACTAACCCAGTACTGTGGCCATTACAAGACAAACTTGTGGTTTTTAAGGTAAACACATTAGCATGCCACATTTTCAGCAGTGTTTGGGTTCAGTGTTTTGCATTAGAGCTGTCAAGATAGCATTAAGTAACACGGGGACAGAGATAAAATTTTCAAGGTGATATGCATTTCTGAATTTTTCTCTCCACCTTTATCTTTTTCCTGCAGCAAACAATTTTAATAAAATGACAACATTTTGAATCTCACACTTATTTAAGCAACACTGAATGATCTTGCCTTCAGACAAATGAGTCTCCATTATGCAGAATATTTGCAAAATCTCTTCCAGGTAAGTATCACTCAGTCATACTCACTGTGGAGAATTAAGAGGAGCTTTAACTCTTTAGTTGCTTCTATAGATTTGCATTAGAATCTTTATGTGCAGTGTACCAACTTGAGCACCAAAGATCAATTTTTATGCAACATTTTCGCTTACAAAGGTACGAAGGTGTTGGGGCACCACCAAAGCGGTGCCTCACACACACCCAGAACACACCAGCACTGGAGAAAACAAACTCTGCTGCTGTTGCTGGTTTGGGAGATTTTTCTTTTATTCTTTTTGGGGTGGTTTAGTCTTTTTTCATTTTTATTTTAATTTTGGGAGACTATTAGATGGATACAACTCCGTAGAAAAGATCAGGCTTACTAAAAAATAATCCAACTTACTTTGCCTGCAGTGAATCACCTGAAGTGAAACCATTTTAGTAAACAGAAAATCAAAATAGGGTAGTAAAATCACCAGTCTCTCCCAATGCTGATATCTGATCCATCCAGACAGGCTCATTAATGTGAAGCGGAGATCATACTTGCCTGAATCACTAATTATAAGACATCACTAACAAGTTGAAGCAATGCTATCCAGATAATCTTCTCTTTGCCTTGCAGGACTCCTCTTATTTTACATTCTACCTTTTTTGAATAAAAATGCCAAGAGATAAGAAGTAAATTGCACCACCACTAAATCTGCCTTCTCGTAACTGGAAATCCTTTCTTTTTCAGAGTAGCTTTTAGCTAATTCAGATGTTTCTGTTCAAGACACTCATTAAGAGACTTCATTATTACATAATGCAGATTTAATTAAAAAAATAATAATCTAACTATATATTTACTTCTAATATGTAACATCCCAGGCCTGGATTATCATGGGATTATTCCAGTTAGGCCTCCTGAAGCATTACTTTCTCTGCAGCTGTTTTTCTTCTCTCAAAAACACTGTGTTATAGGATTAAAATAGGCCCATGCAATTAGGTAGTTATTTCCAACAGGTTGTAGGATGACTTCACTACCAGACAATACATTTTTAGACTTGATGATGTAAATCTTTTCAGGTGATTCCTCCTTCTTCCCCTTAATCAGTAGTGGCTTTGTGTCAATAAATCAGCTCATTTATACCATCCAACTTTACAAGATGAGGATTCTTACACACTGAATAAAGAGACAAAATCCTCAGAGGTGAGAGAATTACACATTATTAAAACACTGTTGCAGTCCTCCACATCATTCTTTCCCCCTTACCTTCACATACAGCACAGCCTGAGTTTAACCCAAGAATCAAGCACCTGTTTAAGTCCTCAAAAAAGTGACTACTGAACTTACCATCTCCATAGAGTCATCCACAGACATGAGTGTCTGAAGGCGTTTTCTCTGTAGCATGTTAGTGAACTCCATATGTATGGGCTTCATGGGTCCTGTATACCGCATTATCCAGTGCTTGTCTGGGTTTGGAGCATAGTTATAACTGGGAGTGCTAAGGAACAGAGAAAACCAGTGTTTTATCAGTGTAGAAAAAAAATAATAATTCCATAGTAATGCTTACTATTAATTTCTATTTGATCACCACTACAGGATTTATTCTCTGAGGTGCATAAAAAAAGTATTAGACTTACTCTGGAAAAATCTTTACGTTCCATATGAAAGATGGGAGAATGAAAACAACTCTGGGGAATCAAATCTATTAGAAGAGTAAACACACATTGTTTTTGCAGGGTCATCCAGACTAACACGGGTACACTTCAAGGCCAGGAGACTAGCCTCACAAGTCTAACTTCGCAAGTACATCTGGATGGAGCACGTACTACAGAGTTCCTACTCACATAATCGCTTGGCTTTCACCCTGTACATAATTAGCACCAAGTATCATGGCTTGTTCAGCTGTTTAACAATAGCCACAGAACTTACTGAAAAGGTTCTACTATGCTCAACAGCTTTTTTTTTTCCAACATGACTGGCTATTTGAATGCTTTCACACTCATGAACCCAAAGGAGCATGGACACCCTACCCAGTGCACCAAATTGCATGAGAGCTCATAGCAAGAAGTGGATACACAGCCACATTTTAAAGACCTGCCAAGAAAAGCAGGGGCAGGGGAAACAGGACTGTATTTTGCAAGCACTTTCAAGCCACCAGCTTTTTTTTTATCATCAGAATCTTTAATTAAAATCCCTGCAATTCTCAAGAGCTGGATTCAATGTCCCCCTGGAATCTTGCTGCCCCTCCAAGTTCCCCTGATCCTGGATTTAAGCAATGAGGAAATATATGACTGATTATCCATAATCTCATGTTGCTGGCAATTCCAGAGACTGCTTTTCTCTGCATAATAATATTGCTTTAGGTTGGCTGAATCAAAACAAGACTTATTTTGACATAGCATTACAATGACGCTGACTCTCTGCATCACTAGAAAGCTCTATTACAGCTTACTTTTGCAAGAAATTTTATTTTACATACCATATCTATTCCTCAAAGTTATTACTTAAGATTAAGAACTGCCTTTGTCAATTGACTTCATGCCCTGGCTCAAGGACATCACCTGCAGTGTAAAGTATTAAAAATTACTTTTCCTAAGTAATTTGTGAGGCTTCTTTTTTTCATTCAAAACCATAGAAGTCAGTCTATGCAAATGTGCAAGCAGAGGGTGACACAGTAACACAGGAAAAATAGCAGATTTTCAGTTATTTTCTTCTTTCCAACACACAATTTCCTGATAAATTCAGCTCCTACTTGGCAAATATCTACTGTCGGTTTTGTGTATGCAACAGAGCAGCAGGGTTAGTTATTAAGATAAACAACAGTAATATAAGTTGAAAATTCTCCTTGAAATACTGTGGGTATCCAATGCATTTTTGAATTTGACAGGTAGTCTTAAGAGTTTTAACATAAATATGAAATTAATAATCTGACAGCAAAATGTTTGATGCTGAAAGCGTCTGTTAGATGCTATCTGAAAAATGTGCGTAGGCGACAGACAAATGGAGGCTTCTTCATAGAGGGAGGAAAGGGCTGGTGTTTATTCTCTCTGTATTGTTAATAGCCTCTTGAATTTCAGAATGTTATTGTGGCTGAAATAATGACATTGCTCCTTTGAAAATGCTGACAGTTATAGAAACTGTTGCTATGCGAAGCCCAGAATGAATCAAAAATGCTTGGCAAACTCCTTTTCAGCTTACTTTGTGATTTCCTGGCTGATTTGTAACCTCCCGCTATTTAATCCAACCAAAGCCATGATTTTCTTTGATTACTACAAATGTAACCCTCTTATGTGTAACAGATTTGTCTGTCTTATGGGAAAATTACTCAAATACAACGTTCTTAGAAGTTGGTTAAGACGACCTCTTCAAATGTACTCAGAAGATAAGTCCCAGTCCAATTGCATCTGACCTTGGAAAATATGGGTGCTACAACGTACCCTCTATAGAAATAACATTTCTGATCACTCTTAAACTGCCCAGCTGCTGCTTTCTTCGCAGCTACCAGCATAAGCAGTAAAAAAGGAAAACCAACCATATAGACTATGGATTTGCTATGTGATTGCTGGCTGATGTGAATGATTTTCAAACAAGAAAAGACTGTACATGTACACGAAAAGCTCTATAGAACAAGACAGTTCTGCAGTAGGGGGTGGAATGGTCATACCAGCTAGTGTGTGCAGTAATAGAAGCAAGAAGGCATAAGCATAAATTAGCACAGAAGTACATACACATGCACAGAAGCAAAGTACTCTGACCTTTGGCCTGCGCTAAAATCCACACCACTAACTTCTAGCTATTAATAGCAAGGCTACACAGTGCAGTATGGCTGTCAACCAGTGTTACCACTGCAGTGTCACCTTCCCTTTGCTTTGGGGACGCAGCTCAAGATTCCACTTGCAAACTTTGTCAGTGCTGCCACAAGAGCTAGGACTAGACAAGAACTTTCATCAGGGTATTGCTTAGTGCTTTAGGGCAATTCATAAGAAGGGCTCCACCTCATCCTTCCCTACCGTATCCACATGACAATGAAACACTGAGAGCTGCCTACATCCTATTACCACTGAGGAATTCCCTGGAATGTGGAAACAAAGGAAAAAAGGGAAGTAGAGAACTAATTTGTACATACAGTGAGGGAATGATGCACATTCTGCATTTTTACATTTAATACTAAACCCAGGCCAATGAAACCCCTTACAGTTTATTACTAGAATTATTTAGTGTAAAAAAAAAATCTTTATAATAAGATTGGCAGATTTTTCACATAAGATGTACATAAAAGCCTACTTTTATATCAAAAAGAAAACCACAGCTCCTTAATCTAGTAAGACAGAGTCATAGAATCACAGAACAGTTCAGGTTGGAAAGGACCTTAAGATCATCCAGTTCCAATCTCCCTGCCACATGCAGGGACACGTCCCACTAAACCATGTCACCCAATGCTCTGTCCCACCTGGCCTTGAACACCACCAGGAACAGAGCATTCACAACTTCCTTAGGCAACCTATTCCAGTGCCGCATCACCCTAACAGGAAAGAACTTCTTCCTTATATCCAATCTTAACTTCCCCTGTTTAAGTTTTAACCCATTACCCTTTGTCCTATCACTACAGTCCCTAATGAAGAATCCCTCCCCAGCATCCTTACAGGCCCCCTTCAGATACTGGAAGGCTGCTATGAGGTCTCCACGCAGCCTTCTCTTCTCCAGGCTGAACAGCCCCAGCTTCCTCAGCCTATCTTCATATGGGAGGTGCTCCAGTCCCCTGATCATCCTCGTGGCCCTCCTCTATATTTGTTCCAACAGTTCCATGTCCTTTTTGTGTTGAGGACACCAGAACTGCACACAATGCTCCAAGTGAGGTCTCACGAGAGCAGGTAATTCGTTTCTTTACAAACAAAGCTTGTTTCCATGAAGGAACATTTCCTGTATAATTGTCATTTTAAGAAAAGCCACCTACAATCGAAAATGGTGTTGTGTAACTACTTTATGATAAGGAAGAAAAACCTAGTTAGTGTGAAAAATAAAATTTAAACTATGAACAAATGAAAACCAGACATAGTTTATATTTTTCATTGCTGGCTTTCCTCAAATCCTGTTAACTCTTTTTCATACAACAAGCATAATTAAATTGCTACAGAATGTTGCTTGATAAATGATTATTGTCTCTGAAATATGAATGCCTTCCAAGGGAACTTCTAGTACAAGTGAGGTCAATACTGAGTATAAACTATGGGAAGTTGCTCACTTGGCATTTTCAAAGACAATAAATGAGCATAAGACAGCAAACAAATACAAAATCCTGCATTGCTGTAAATCTAGGACACAGATTCTCTTTGGGGCACAGCACAAAAGCTGAAATATGTAATTTTAAGTTACGCAATACCTGGACAATGGAACAAAGGAAGCTGTTTCTCTCATACTCTATTTTAAATAAAATTAAAAAGCTGAAATAGCTTTCACTAGATTTTGGACAAGGCCTGAGCAGCTTCAGTTACCAATGGATTATTATTTCCAACAGTTCCCAGTTCCTTCACAAATCCTAAACAAAACAGAATTCCCCTTTAAAACACTAGAAATATAAAAGGGCATGTAGGATCTAAATGACAAATGCTGCACATTAGTGAAGGCATGAAGTCAGTAATTAGAAAATATTGGAGTGTGCTCAGTTAATCTAAAGCCGATTTGGGACAACCCTTCATTTTATCAGCATGTGAAGATATGTCTGTAATGGAACATTACAGAGCTCTAGCTGTGAGATGTCCCTGTGCTATAAACAAGAACCATCTCCTCATGTACCTTATGAACATGTTAACTCAGGAACAAGGTGATACAGCTTTTGGGACCTGTTCAAGACACTGTTCTGAGTCATGTACAGACACACAAGACCTCATTCAGAAATAGGTTGTCTTATTTGGTGCTGCAGGCCTTATTTCCTTTCTTTCCATATATGAAACAGAAGTACTAAGTACTGCATGCTACGTGATTTTTGGTACTACTATAAAACAGTACAGTTTATATCTAAGGAGAGGCAGAGAGATTCTTTTCCTGAAGAGATGACAGCCCAAGAATCAGAGTTTGATACCACCACCACTCCCCCCCAAATAAAACAGTGCTTTACTTCCTAAATAGGTTGTAACATTGTCCAATAAATTCAACATGAATCTTTCAATTTATCTCAGTGAGCTACAATGCTGACTTCTAGATAAGGTCACCATTCTCAATATACTTGTACAAGCCTGAAGAGGTTAAAAAGATAAAATCTCAAAACTCTTCTTACATATTTGTGACAAACTTATGCTACGAGTATTATAAAGCAAATGATGTTCTCCCAAACGTACCCAGGACTTCCATATTCCTGAACCTGGAAATGAAAGGGTTTTATTTTTCCTTACATGTGTTGTGAGGCATTAGGAAAGAGATGCGAGTACTGAGGGGCTGAATCTTCAGGGCCATGAGGAGCAGCATGGCTTATAACCATCAGCACAGGCCTGTGAGGATACATCTTCTTTGAGATTCTGAAGAAGGTAATACTGTCATTTGTAATCAGATCGGTTAGATAGTCCTGCAAGTAGAAGTAAAAGTATAATGAGATACTTGAAAAATAATTTCAAATTGGGGGGTGAGGTGGTAAGGGGATGACTGAGATTTTGTAAAAAAAGAAGCTACTTCACTCAGAATGGGAGAAGGGAGTAAGTAACAGACGTTAAAACTTCAAAAAGCAGAACCAAACCATTCTTTTTTCACTGCCTATAAATATGAAAAGCCACAGCTTCCTCTCAGAAATGAATATCAAATAGGACTCTTTCTTCCCAGAGTGCATAATTACGTTATGAAGATCACAGTACTAAATACAATTGTATTAATGAAAAAAAAAGAAAATTACAGGTCAATTTATTTGCTTTCTGGTGTTGATATCATCAAGGCATTTAATCTAACCTTAGCATCATAAAAGTGCTTTAAAAATCCAAAGGGCTCAATGTTCACTTTTCTTAACTTCCCTCTGAACCAGAAGTCACTAAGCTAAAAGATGCTGTGCTAATTGGACCAAAAGTTCATTCAATATTACTGACACAGTGACAAGTTGATAGAGATTTAGTTCCATCAAATAAAATGCTGAGAATATAGAAAACTTGTTTGGAAGATATAGACCATCTTTCCATTTTCTAAGGAGCACCATTATTATTCTCCTTATATCTGCTGTAGCTACATGGATTGAAGACAGTATTTTCAGTGACAATCCATGTTCTCTCTAAGACTGCATAACAGGAAATGCTGCAAATATAAATACTTCTCAAACACGAGTAAGATATGAAAATGAACCTTTAAAAAGAGAATAACTGTCATATCACAACTGAACATAAAATCAGACATAACATCTGCCCCTGGTCAAGTGAACAAGTACAAGGTGTGGTACATATTGGATTATATTTCCTTTTAAGTGCAGTTTTCTGACTGTGGTTTCGTCTCTTGCTCTTCTTCATGACTGCCAATGACCTTGACCTGAGAAGTCAGCTTATCATCCATCAAAGGAAGCCTTTTTCACTGACTGTATTTACTTTCCCCAAGTTATTTCCTGTGCATCCCAGAACAAGGCTGACAAAGTCTTCGTTTATCATTTTACACACTGGTCCCAGCATGGTGCATGTCTGTTATGAAACTGCCATGACTATGTTATTGATGTGATATTTTCACTCATGAAAGCAGGTGTAAATAGGCATAATTCCATCAAAGTTAACTGTAGGACCTTCTTTCATCACCATATGCAGGGGTAGATTGTACAATAAGCCAGACCAGAGCAAAACTGGCTTCTGAACATACTTTTAATACCTGAGACCATAGTTATAGCTGAGAGAGAAATACTGGAATGCAGTCAAAAAAGCATTGATGTTTATCTGAAATGTGACTCTCCTTTAAGGTGGCTGCTCACCATCTTAAGTGTGTAACTCATCTTTGGTTCAGCCATTATGAAAGTATAGTTTCAAACTTTATTTTGAAGATAATTTTCACCTGGTTAAAGTGCAAATCATTCAAATTCAACACTGCAAACCCAGTGTCTGCCAGGCCAAAAGACCAAGGAGAAACCTCTCCCTCAACCGAGTTCTTTTTTTAAAGAGCTCCATATTGCAGAGGTTGTTGCAGACGGTGCAAATGCATACGAAACTAAACACTCATCTAAAAAAGCTGACAGAACTGAAAAAAGAACAATCAAAAGTAGAATATATCCTGCTAGAAAATCTAAAAGAATTTGCAAAGATTTGATTTTCAGAGGGAAAGTGCTCAGCTCTTGCTTTTGAGGACAGAATCAGCAGTGGTTTTTTCCAAGTTTTCCACTGGCATATAATTAACACTAACAGTGTCAAGTAGATAGGGCTAAAATATAATCTGATTATGTTGTTCATTGCTGGAAAATTCAATTTCTAGCAACAAAAGTGGCAGAAGCAGTCTTGTATGTCAGCTTCTGTTTGTTCATTTGAACTCCAGTATTAACACCAACAAGTGCTGTTACTCTGTGTACTAGCATCTGTTTATTACCATAGCTCTGCATTATGCAAGAATATGAAGATTACAAAAACATTTACATTTTATCTTTTTTTTTAATTTATTATCAAACTGAATAAGAAAAACTAAACCAAATGAAAACCTAAACATTTTCAAGTATTGCATACACAAACCAGAGCTAAGAATATTGGAACACACAGTTCCCTACTGGCTCCTTGGAGCAATGGGGAACAGTGCCCTATGAAATCACTTGTCTGACATTGTTCCATGTAAGATCTATTTCCATCATAACATTTTTGGTACACGGCTTTAGAGATTAGCTCTCATTCTTCATAGATGAGAAGGGAAATAAAAGAGAAATAATTCTGTACATCAGGTGCCCTTTCCCCTTGGCAGCTGGTGATAGCAAAGGAAACCCTAGAAGCCTGTTAAGTTTTATCTTTCAGCACAAAGTACATTCAATTAAAAATGACAAATAGGGGAGGGGAGAGGAGAAATCAGAGACATCAGCCTTTCAAAGGAAAATCTGACTGTGAACACATCACTAATGAAACACAAATATGGAGGCAGGATTTCTGCTCAATAACAGAGAGCAAACCAAGTCTTTGCTGAGCAAATACACCTTACAAATTAATGTCACTCAAGAGCAAGTCACCTTCTTAAGTTATACACTACTTAAACTACAGCAGTTTATGGATAAATTTATTTACCATCATACTTCAGAGACAACTCAGGCCATTTTAGGAATTCACAAAAGCTGGTTACTTTGGAAAGATAACTCATTTGGCTGAAATAAACATGCTCCTGACTGCAAAGAGGTAACTGAGCTGCAACATGTGCTAGATGGGGGGGGGGGGAGTGGTACTGCATTTGACAATGGTTATCAAGCATTTTAGTAAATTTGGCCAGGGTGTAACATCCTTGCAAAGGTATTAGGAAACATATGTGCCTGTAACAATGCACAGAGATATAAATTCAATAGTTACATTCTCTACTCATTCAGAATAATCCTAAGATACACACCAAGATATTATGAATTCTCCATCTTATTACAGCTGTGAAACAAGTTCCTTAAACTAATATAAAAAGATGGATTTAGCTGGAGGGAACTGGATTCTTATCTCACTTATGCTTGTGTAACTCCACTGGAGTCAGTTCTATACCAGGGGAATAGATGACAATCAGACTCAGCACACAATAATTAAAGTATACAAAGTACAGAAGTTGTTATCATGCAGCTTTTAAACAGATTTTACTTCAGCTCATAATGCATAATACAGTCTCAGGACATTTTGTTTGCTTCCACTGCTGCTAACAATGTTTTCAGTAACATGACTCTCCTGGAATGGAAGATAAGGAGAAGTCCAAACATGACGCCTATTGGGTTGTAGCTAATGTTACACGGAGCAGCTTTCATGTATGAAAAGAATTCTTTAGTTAGATTGAAGCCATGAAGCACAGCCTTCTTGCAGCCACGCTTAAATGTAAAAATAATAGAAATAAATCAATAGGACCTACCCTGGAGTAGTCATATCCATGCTTCTCCTTCACTCCATTTCTACAAAGTGTATAGTTATAAAATCGAGAGTTTTTAAGTAGTCCAACCCATTCTTTCCAACCAGGAGGCACATAGGAGCCATTGTATTCATTGAGGTACTTTCCAAAGAAAGCTGGGGTAGAGAAAACAGAAGCGTAATAAGAAGGCGTAACAGAAACACTTCAAAGATACCACATTTAATCATATACTTTCCTGCCTCTTCTTAGAGAAGCGTTTTCTTAATTCCAATACACACAAGGTAAAAGCTAAGTTCTAAGTTTGTCTGCGTTTATTTCAGAGCTCCAGCTCTTATGATTTTCAGTCTGACTACATAAGAGAGAAACTGGACCACAATTACCCATTATATTTTCTTTATTTTATGATACATTCAGATTCAGATGAACAAAACAGAGAGCGCCTAAGACACTGCTGGTTGCCACATTATCTCATCCTGCTCTGAATCACCCAATTTAGCTACATTTTTCATTTTGGTTACACCCACTTAAGCCATCTCCACCTAAGGAACTGGCAGAAGCAGTGAAGTTACTAATAGGAGGCTGGCTCGGGAGAAATGATGACAAATGAGGACCATAAATTTGATAGGATATTAAACTGGTTGCATAGAAGAAATGAAGCAGCAGTGGTTTGGCAGAGCAAGGGTTCTTGCAGAACACCGGGCAGGCATTTGAGCCATGCTGCCAGAAGAGCTCTGTGCATGCAAGCCTTGCTCTGTAAGCCCCAAGTGTACAGACACAAATGGTTAAGGAAAATGAAAAGCATTCGATTTCTATGAGAAGAACACAAACCCTCTAAAGCACACGATGTACCCAACGATGCTTTCACACCACTGCAGTTAAAAATTAAATGAAGGAACATATTTTTTAGTATTAAGTTTATATATCATCACTAGGCAGTTACTGGATAAATTATACTGGAAGATTCCCATTTGTCTAGTTAGGTTTTTTTAAAGCTTAAAGGAAAAATTTTGCTCCTGGGTCTGCAGACTGCACTGCAAATCAGCACCTGACTTTCCATGATCAGAGCTCCCATCTCAATTTTTGAATGGTCAGGCAATACAAGTTAGCATTGCCATAGTGACTAGCACAAAGATCTTTACGCTTGTTCCAGCTGTCAAGACAAATACTTTTAATCTGCAGGTACACAGTGTCTGGAGGATCTCACAGTGGCCATCTATCTATTCCATCTATGAATCCATAAGGATAACAGACTGTCTAAGATTTGGTTCTTAGACTAAACCTCACTTCATAATCTACAAGACTTGAGTACAAATTCACATTTTCCAGATTCTTAATGACTTTTTTCTTTTAAGCACACAGCCTATATTGCCTGATACTGCACCTTCTTGTACTTAAATAAATGAAAGGAACAACAGTGTGGTTAGAGTAAGACAGGTTTTCAGCCAGCCTCACTGAAGTCAGTGGATTTACATCTATTTGTAGTAGGCTGAATATCTGTCCAAAAGACAGACACAGTGTGAAAGAGTGAATGTTTGAGATCTTTTAAAGTGCTTGAAAAGATAAGTGTTGACAACATTAAAATCTACATAACAGATGATGAGAGCATCTATTGGTACACAATTAATAAATTCCTTAAAATTACACTGTACTTTCAAAATATTTTGCAAAAGCAGATAAGGTGTTATGCTATTTTTCACACCAGCTACTTACAAAAAGGTTAAGTAACTGATAAGCATGCTGCTGAGAAGAGTTTGTTTCACTGTCCTAAACTACCTCACGAGATATTCATTAACCAAGCAAAGTAAGCTGGCAGCAAAGAACAAAGCAAAATCTACTCTGCTATGGATGAAAACTATCACGTTACTCAGGGACTGTACTTATACATGAACAACTTCTTTAAAGACTGAGAGGCAACTTAAGCAGTTATGGGTATTAAGCCAATACAGACACACATTTTTTCTTGTCCTAGTAACAAAGAACACAGGACTGAAGCACTGCCCACTGCCTAAAGTAGCAGGGATACACAAGGCTGTCCAAAGTCTTTTGTCCCCAGTTCAACATATTACATCCAAACAGAAATATATTTGGCATTTCTGCTCACGGGAACCAATCTGTTCCTAAAACCTCTGGCTGAGCCAGCTGAAGAACTCAGGAAAGAGGCATTCTGTAGAGAATTACTTCATTGTTTTTCTGCAGAGGCAATAAAGTCTGGTGGAAGTTCCTTCCCGCACCTTTTCCATCCCCCCCATTGTGTATTCAGGATGTCTTTATAACCTTGTATGGATGTTCAAGTGCTTTAAATAATTTTCTCTGCTGTTTCCAATCTCCCATTTCACATTCCTTCCTTTCCTCCCTCCTTCTCAGCCATTTAAAGGCTTGTTATTCACAAATTTTTAAATGTCACTCCTCTCAGTGCAAAATATTGGTTACAAAAAAGCTCTCTTGATGCTGGCAAAAGATCTTGATTTTGGATTGTAAAGGTTCTCTCACATACACTTTTCCCCCTCAACAGATTAGTTCACCACCAGAGACAGCTGCTCACTAGCATACACATGCCTCTGGTACATCCAATTACAAACCACTCCAAGATTTCATTAATAAACATTCAAAGAGGCTGCTCCTTGATATGCTCAGCCATATTCCTATCTCCAGTCTATGCAATGATCATTAAACAACGTCCAAATGGCTGGTTTTAATAAATGCATTAAGAAAGTGATTTTCCTTTGCTTTCAACACTATACAATGTAGTTTGTCCCAAGACTACATAAAACAGGATATGCAAGAACTGAGTCCTTTGTACACTGTTACCACTTCCGCGGGGGTTCGCAACCTTCTAAGGTTCTTTGCTCGGTCTCACCCTTGAATGATAAGCACCTGGAAAATTCTTTGGTACAGAGTGGAATTTTTACAAGAGGTTTTCTTTTTTAAACTCTTCCTGTAAGGAAATAAAATTGCACACAAAAGAATTTTCCCTGTGCTACCAATTAATACAAAGGTCTGCTCTGAATACAACGCAGCCGTAGACATATCAAGGCCACAGCTCATTGCTTAAAAAGCAGATCTCGCATATCGTCAAATGGAGTGTAAAAGCACAATTAGAATGGACATCAAGGCATCATTTACTAGCGCTGGAAATGTTCAAGCCAGATCTACCATCTCTCTATATCATTGTGTGGTTTAACCCCAGCTGGCAGCTATGTCCCAGGACAATCATCTACCAGATTCCATAAATTTGTTGGATCTTTTTTCCTCCTTTTTTTAAAACCACAAAATCATTTCCTACTACTTATCTAAAAGTACTTAACACTACTAAAATGCATCCACAAAGAATGTTCACAAAACCTGCATTAAATTGAAAACTAAGATAATTCAGGATGCATCAATAAAATGATGCAGGAGATCATTCACCCCTCTATTCCATATAGACTGCCCAACATTGGGAGCTGGACATAACAAATCTTTTTCATTTCTAAAATTAGGAACGCACTGGAAGTCAGAGGTTCACCAGTGTAAAGCTGTCAGATCAGATTTAGACACAGATTTTCAGTCTTTCATTGCTTCCTTGATTTTCAGCTCTGATTCTGACCATAGTCATCTGATAGACTAGTGGCCAAGATCAGTTATCCATTTCTCTAATAACCTGCTTAATGGTATGATCATAGTGTTTATGCTAATTTTAAGTAAAGTAAGAAGGAAATCAATAAAGGAATGTATGAGAGGAATATTGGTAATAGCTTTCTGACAGTGCCATGTTACATTCTGTTGGGAAGCAGTGAAAGATAGAGCTCTTGCTACATGTAAAGCCAAAGCAGGCCATGCACTAGAAAAATATACTCTGTGGAACACTAGCCAGGCTTCAAGGGGACCTAAGAACCTTTTCACTTGTGGGGCGATTACTGAGAGGACAAAGCCAGCTCCTCATGGTAGTACATGGTGGAAGAAGAAGAAAGAACTGGCACAGACTGAAGCAAGTGAGGCTCGGCCTGGATGTAAATAAAAGCTGTTTTACAAAGAGAAGAGTTGAAGAGTGGAACAGGTTGTTCAGAAACACTGTCAATTCCAATCCTTGGTGTTTTTCAAGACTAGACTGGATCAAGCTCTCAGCAATGTGGCCTGGAACAGGATTTCAGCAGGCAGTGGAAAAGAGACCTCCTGAGGTCCCTTCAACCCAAATTAGCCTGTGATCCCATGATGGACTCAGTGACTTCTGAAGCCCACCTTCAGTTGAATATAATAGATGATTCTTGGATTTGAGAATTTTGGAATATAGTTATAAAAATTCATGGTCTCATAATAAATCCTTAAGCTGAGAGAAAGTAAAATTTGGCTTTTTGTTGCACCAAAACAGTACATTCAGTATTTGTATCACACACCACTCCTCCTGGAGCCTTCATATCCTTCATGCTATGTAGCTACATCCACATATTAGCACCCCATTAAATTGCACTTACCACCATGACTGTGAAGTTAAACTCACCTTTTAAGCTATTAACCCTCTCCATTTAAAAGAGAATGTTGTGCATTAAGTACCTGAAAGATGTATTTAAAGCAGTGTTTTTCTGACATATTACAACAGCCAACTTTCCAGGTATTAAGTTAGGTTTTGAGCTGCGAGCCTTAGCTGCTCATAGGGATTTGTCTACCCCTCTAAAATCTTTCACTTGTGTATCCGATAGCAGTTGTACCCAGCTCAAAGTTGAACAATTGGCTACATTTGAGCAATCCCTTAATTCTGGACTTGGGAAAGGGGTAATTTCAGATCTTCTTTCTGTTGTATACCTAACAAAAATCACTTTCAGTACTTTTTGTCCTCTAAGAGACAACTGAAGGAAAGCTGATGAGAAAGCACACTCAGCATGACTAAGTACGCATGTAACAAGCAGTAAGCCCAAAGGTCAATTCAGCTTTGCTCTCACATTATGACCAAATACGCTCAAACTGTACAATAGACCAAACCCAGTGAAATGTATGGATTTCGAGCGGAAGTATGAGGGTTTTGAGATAAAATCCTATAATATTAAATTAGGTTCCATGGAAAATACTTTTCAGGACAGATCAGTTCTTATCAGGTACTGAAGTAACTGACCAGATTTTCCAAAAATCAGTAACTCCTAAGTGCTGAAGTCACCTGAACAAAACAGTCTCGATTGGCACC